CTCGATTAGGCAGCAGATGCTCGACTCTCATTTACACCCCTATCCATAACTATGGCACTGGCTTAATCAAAATTGGACATAAAATGAGTTTTTTTAGTATAACGATAGAATTATTAAAGTGCCTTAAATCAAATAAACAATTATTTGGTCCCAAATGATTGTGACCATAGGCCAGAGCTCAGACTCCATGCATACTTAAAAATCTCATGACATTATTTTTATTTTACTTAATGTATTAAATTAAGTAAAATAAAAACTTTAGGTATTAGATGTGTAAATAACATGAAATATAGTGGTTAGAATTTAAAAAAAAAAAAAACATGAAATATAGTGGTATGCACATAAATCCCCTAAAATGTAAAGCCTCTAAGGCTATCAACTCAATGTATTTTTATAAATGATAAGTATTTAAAATTATTAATTTATTTTATTTTTAAACTTTAGTGACAATTATAAAAAGGGATTTTTACATACATACCACTTTATTTGTTACATATTACATATTTAACACCTAATTCTTAAATATTACACTCCTACCACATATTCTCTATTTTTACAACAAAATTACCACTCCGTTAACAGCGATCTCACTCCGTTTTTTTTTTCCTTCCCGCCTGTGATTTTCGCGGGAGAGCAGAAGTTTCAGCGAAAACTTCTGTATAAACAAAAGAAGAGAGAATTCAACTGTAACTAGAAACAAGCTGATATCACATTGTTCTGCTTTACCTCGAAGTGGCAGAACTGAAATCGTAAAACATAATTAATTAATACTCAGAAGACTGGGAATGAGGGCATATATCTGATCACAAGAAGTTAAACCCTAAAATGCCACAGAAAGAAGGGGATCGAGGGGAGCTAAGAATCGCTTCCATCGGCATTAATCAAAACATTAAAGAAATATTAATAGAAGAACCAAAGTCAACGACGCAGATAAGTAAAATAGGAAAGAAAAAGAAAAAAGAAAAAAGTGAAACAATGCTTCAACAAAGAACAAAGAGATCAAAAAGGATAAAATCGTAGAGAATTAAGCTGCTAGAAAATCACACGGAATTAATTACGAGATACGCCAAACCTAGCTAGCTAGGAGCCGCTTGTGCTCATCGTATTGTTCCTCTCGCTCCCTCCGCCACCACTGTGATGCTGCTGATGATAATGATGATGATGTGTAGTCGTCGCCGTTGCTTCATGACCCGATCCGACAGGTCGGTACGAGTTGAGCGCCGCCAAAATCCCCAAATGCCCCTCGGCGCCACTGCTGCCGGAGCCGAGGCCGAGTTGCTGCCCGGGAAGCAAAGCCATGGGAGCCGCATGAAAGTTCATGAAGTGGAGACCAGCTGACATCGATCCGCGAAACATTGTCGACACCCCCATATGAGAGAATTCGCTGGCTATGGCATTCCTAACGAATTCGGACGGAATGAGAGAAGCGTTTGACGGAGTGGTACTTTTGTTATGATAATAGTATTTAGGTGGTATTAATGTAATATTTAAGAATTAAGTGTTAAATATATAATATGTAACAAATAAAGTGGTATGTATGTAAAAATCCCTTATAAAAAATGGCTCCTATAATATTTCGCCCCTTGTGAGTGAGCGGTGAGATTATTTATTCTTTAAAGAACGATGAGAAAAAGCACAGTGAAAGCTACCTTGAAAACAATGTCGTCTTCCTCCTCTCTCCTAACCATCCTCGGCCTCCTCCTCTCCACATTCCCTCCGCTAACCAACTCCGATTTGCCACCTCTCTACCCCAAAGCAGCGCTCCCCACCGAATCCGGCTATCTCCCCATCAACACCTCCTCCTCGGCCGCCCTCTTCTTCGCCTTCTACGAAGCCCAAAAACCCCTCTCCCCTCTGGCCTCCACCCCACTCCTCGTCTGGCTCCAAGGAGGCCCCGGCTGCTCCTCCATGGTCGGAAACCTCTTCGAGCTCGGCCCCTGGCTCATCTCCGATGACCTCCTTCTAAGCCCCAACCCCTTCTCATGGAACCGCCGCTTCGCCCTTCTCTTCATCGACAGTCCCCTCGGCACCGGCTTCAGCTCCGCGTCCTCCCCCGTTTCGATCCCTGGCGAACAACCCACCGTCGCCGCCCACCTCTTCTCCGCAATCCAATCCTTTCTCTCCTCCCATCCCCTTTCCTTCCGTTCCCGCCCTCTCTTCCTCACCGGCGAAAGCTACGCCGGCAAGTACGTTCCTGCCGCCGCCTACCACATCCTCCGCCAAAATCCCATCTTTCCGCCTCCCCTCCGCATCAACCTCGCCGGAGTCGCCATTGGTAATGGACTGACTCACCCGACGGCTCAAATCGGCACCCACGCCTCCGCCGCTTACTTCGCCGGTCTAATCAACGATCGGCAAAGGGCGAAGCTCGAAGATCTACAAAACGATGCCACCGCGCTCGCGCGGGCGGGCAAGTGGTTGGAAGCCGCCGACGCGCGTGGGCTAGTTCTCGAGTGGCTTCAGAACGCCACCGGCCTGGCTACGCTCTACGATCTGACGAAGAAGAAGCCATACGCAACGGCGAAGCTGACTGTTTTTCTGAACAGGGAGGAGGTGAAGGCGGCGCTTGGGGCCAAAAAGGAAACGACTTGGGTGGAATGTAGTAAGGCCGTGAGCCATGTGATGAAGAAGGATATAATGAAAAGCGTGAAGTTCATGGTGGAGGAGGTGGTGAAGAACAGTCGCGTGCTTCTGTATCAGGGAATTTTTGATCTGAGGGATGGGGTCGCGTCAACGGAGGCATGGATGAAGGAGATGAATTGGGAGGGTATTGGAAGCTTTTTGGATGCGGAGAGGAGAGTTTGGAGAGTGGAAGGAGAGGTTGCAGGGTACTTGCAGAAATGGGGGAATTTGACTCATGTGGTGGTTTCGGGCGCCGGACATCTTGTTCCTGCTGATCAGGGGCGGAGCACGCAGGCGATGATTGAGGGTTGGGTACTGAAAAGCGGAGATTTTGGCGAAGAAGAAGAAGAAGAGAAGGATTTTAGCTTAAGGAGATCAGAGTGAAAATTGTAAGGTCTGCTTTGTATCCTGAGCCAAAATGTGAGTTTGGATCCTGAGCCAAAATGTGAAGCTATTGAACCAAGTCAAGAGTATCTGTTTTGTTACCTCCTACTTTAGGAAGTAGTATCAGATGTCCAGATGGTTATGATTGATTCCTAAATGTAACATAAGCATGGAACTTAAGGGCACAATAGCTGCATGCCTAACGATCACAAAGGCTCTCGATCCAGGGAATGACAGTCGTGACAGATTCAAAGGCAATGGCCATGACTTTTTTTAAGGGTATTGTAGCTTCTTCCATGTCTAATAAAATTTTATATAGACCCACCTCATTTTGATCTGTTGATTCTCTGAGCTTTAACTATCAACCAAAAAGTCTTGAATTTGAATATTGAGTATGTGATGTGCGTGAATTTGACTTAATTGACCTAAACATCTCCCCAAAAAAACTTTTATGCATATATCATTTCATTTTGAAATTGATGTAACAAGTTTATAGGAGGTTCTTCTACCTCATTATTTTCATATAAAATGATGCTTGTAACAGAGGGTTTGTTGTAGGTAGCACAACCCTACGCTTCTGACTCCTACGGGTTGCTCTCGTTGTGTGAAAAAATTATTACGTTTGGTGTCCGAACGTGTCTGTTCGGAGGCCAATCCGGACATGTCATTGTCACCCAATGCACAATGTATTGAATGATGTGGTGCATTCGAATTGGCCTCCGTATACGTTTGGGCTCTGCATAGAATTATCTCTTCGTTGTGGGTATTGGCCAAATGAATTTATGAGACTTTTTGGCACTATCTGAAAGTAGACAACTCCATGCCAAGTTTGTATTTTTCACACATTATTGCCTAAGTTTCAAAGGTTTCTTGAGATCAACTGCAACTCTAGTAAGCTTCTATAGAATTGTTATGATTTAAAAAGGAGAGTTTACATCAAAATGATGGTCAATTTAACTTGTTCATTTTGTGTCAATTAAATGTCTATATAATTGTCATTGATTAAGCAAACTTAGAACATATCTGTCAACAATTTTCAACAAATATAATAATATATTTAATAATAATAATTTTTAATTATCTAAAAGCAAAAAACTCAAAGATATAAATACTAATGTGATGAAATAATGCTTTAAATTTCAGAATAATTATGAAATTGACTAACCAATTAAAGATAGGGGCGGATGCAATATGGAGAGAGAGAGAGAGAGAGAGAGAGAGGGGGGTTCTATGAGATTAAACTTACTATTTGAAGAGAGTTTAGCCTAGCACTAATTGATTGTTTTAGGTCACAAAAGCCATACGCAACGGCGAAGCTGACTGTTTTTCTGAACAGGGAGGAGGTGAAGGCGGCGCTTGGGGCTAAAAAGGAAACGACTTGGATGGAATGTAGTAAGGCCGTGAGCCATGTGATGAAGAAGGATATAATGAAGAGCGTGAAGTTCATGGTGGAGGAGGTGGTGAAGAACAGTCGCGTGCTTCTGTATCAGGGGATTTTTGATCTGAGAGTTGGGGTAGCGTCAGCAGAGGCATGGATGAAGGAGATGAATTGGGAGGGTATTGGAAGCTTTTTGGATGCGAAGAGGAGAGTTTGGAGAGTGGAAGGAGAGGTTGCAGGGTACTTGCAGAAATGGGGAAATTTGACTCACGTGGTGGTTTCCGGCGCCGGACATCTTGCTCCTGCTGATCAGGGGCGGAGCACGCAGGCGATGATTGAGGGTTGGGTACTGAAAAGCGGAGATTTTGGGGAAGAAGAAGAAGAAAAGGATTTTAGCTTAAGGAGATCAGAGTGAAAATTGTAAGGTTTGCTTTGTGGAAGTGCAAACTAGAGAATGAATTCATAAAATACTTCTTCCCACTTTCTAGTTAGCATTAGATGCATAAATGGTGATGAGATGGGTCTTGCTCGCATCTATCAGATTACTTGTTAAATTTGTGAGGGTAAAAAAAAATCTAAGATAGATTATCTAAACATGGCGGGTAAACTTTTATCATTATAAACTTAAATTGAGATTTGATTAGGATTTGGCACTGAAAGAGAATAATTTGTGAAATAATTATATTTATTTTGTGAGATATCTGTGAAATAAATTTTCAAGGTACCCTTCAAACACATTCACAGCTTAGACGTTACTGTGGGCATGCCCTTCTGGTGCCTTTTAAATTGGATCCTGAGCCAAAATGTGAAGCTATTGAACTAAGAGCATCTATTTTGGTACCTCCTACTTTAGAGAGAGAGAGAGAGAGAGAGAGAGAGAGAGAGAGAGGAGAGGGAGGGCTTCTATGAGATTAAACTCACTATTTGAAGAGAGTTTATCCTAGCACTAATTGATTGTTTTAGGTCACAATGTGTATTAATCTATTTATCAAAAAGTGATTAAAAGAGATTAAGCATGCATAGAGTGAGGATATAAATTAGTTTTTAAATTGAGGATGAATTCTATCCCTTTTTTTTTGTGCACATTAGCTGAGTCTATTCCATGAGAAATGAAGGATACAAAATTTAAAGAAGCTTGGAGTAAATTTTGGTTGACTAAGAGTAACATCAGCATACTAGTCAGATGCATGAACACGTAATCATAATTAACAGTATTTGGCTAATGTCATTCACACTATATGTGCTAAATTAAATGGCAAAAACTAATCTGAAGGCCTCATGAATTTTAAAAACGCATTGGACTTAAATATAGTGTTTTCAACAGTCTATACCTGAGATCGGGTCTGCACCCGAGTGGTCGACGGAAGAAATTCCTCCCATCTCACCCGGGCTCGAATCCCCTAACTGTCCCCCCCCAAATATATACTATAAAGTTGCTTTAAGAAGCAGTAAAAAAATCGCCTCAAACGAAGCTTAAGAGTAACGTCAACTATAGCTGTCAGATGAATGAACACGTAATCAGAATTTACAGAATTTGGCTAATGTCATTCACACTATAGGTACTAAATTACATGGCAAAAACTAATCTGAATGCCTCATGAATTTAAAAAGGCACTGGACTTAAACATAGTGTTTTCAAAAATATGAACAAACGCAAGCACAATCTATACCTCACAGACATGTATATTTATCCTTCTCTGAAATATATTTTCTATCTACAAAAAAGAAAAAAAAAGAGGAGGTATGCCTGGAAAATTTCATAGGCAAAAATGGCTGGAAAATCTTTCACTAGCAGAAAGGAGTATGGCCACAAAATCTTACACAAAATTGAACACTTGCTAGGAAAAAATTCATGAACTACCTTTAGAAATAAATTCAAGCATCCAAGCCATGAAGGAATGCAAACTAGAAAAGCTGTGGAATGCTCAACAATTCATAATACACGTAAAAGGAGAATTAATGCTGAGTCAAAAGTACTCTCACTGATAACCAGCAGCAGCTGAAACTAACAGCTAATCAGAATCAGATAAATTGGAACTTTCTGATTGTCTAACGTTTCTCTTTGCTGCAAGGGGCCTCTTATGGCTTGTAGATGTTTCGCCGTCCGAAAATATCAGTTTAGCCTTGGCAAGCCTCTCCTCCAGCTCCTCCGTGCTGAATTCATCACTTCCTCCAAGCTCATCAAAACCTACCTGGAACACACACATTTGGAATCAAATATACAACAAAGAGAAAAGGATTTTATGTGAAAAACCAAGTTTTTTTTTTTTCCTAAGCGTACCACGTAATCATCAACTTTGGCATTCTTTACAAGAGCAAGGGTTGGAAGCACAACAATCCTAAGCCTCTCAGTCAGAAATGGACTTTTTTCTGCATGAACCTTAAGAAAACGAGTCTCCAGATGTTGCTGTGCAAGAATATTTAAGTGTTTGTCCATAACCTACATGGAATAAGCAGGGCTTTACTCAATATTAGCTGAAAGATTTCAGGAGAAATTTAACCAAGCAAAACAGAAACAGAACTGAAATATTTTTTTACATTGAAATGTTCAACTTGAAATTCAAATACACATGTTGAAACTTGACGGCATATGTCATAACTTCCTAAATAAGCTTTAAGTCAGCATAATAACATAGCTACAGGGAAGAACAGCAAGCATTTGAAGGAGCTGGATTTAAGGATACGATTTACATTAATTAACTCATTAGGGCTATTTGGCTACAAGTAGGTTTCAGCAAATTCTGTAAGTCTATATTGAGCAAATCTTGAGAGGATTAAAACCTAAAAACCATTTGGCATGACAGCAGTTAAATCTTACTGAGTTTTGATAAATGATTTGGCTGTTTATTTCATGATTTATGATTTGTGAGAAGAAAAAACCTTAAATTTGTTAAATCCAATGAATGGTGGCCTGGTGGGATATAGAAAATTCTAAATTTAATCAAGAAAGGAGCTAAAATATGAAATTATCAAAACGGCAAGATGTAAAATCTCTAAAAATCTATTTGCCAGGGTTTGAGCCAAATCTTGCTTAAATTCCACCTAAAATATAATAGCAAGCAACCCACCCCTAAGTTGTTAACCTGCATTCGAGCGGGAACCATATTTTGGTAATATTCCAACTTCTTATAATGTTGCATGGGTAGCAATTAGCAAGGAAAGCAACAATCTGAAGAGGCATTATATTATAAAAAAAAAAAGAGAAAAAGATGAAGACTGCTTACAGATTGAATAGGTGCTAATAATAGAAACACTACAAAGCAATTTTAGAAGGGTTACAGCGCACATTCAGGTGCCAAGATTTGGTAATTCCTTTGTAGCATTGGCCTTAGAACTAAATGGTAATTCTATGGATTGCACTGACCAGCAATGAATAAACATTTGAACTTTTTGCATAATAGGGATATGCACTAGTAGCCCATGCAAGTGATATTTCAATTGACTAGTCTTGGCGTGATAGTTGCTACTTCAATAATGCTTTGTGAACTATTATTTCAGAAACCTATCCATAGAGCTTTAATAGAAGTTGCATAGAACAAATTTTTACCTTGGAATTGAGGCAGGAAAAAATGGTCAAAATCATAAGTGTGCCAAAACTTCGAAGAATTATAGAGATTGCTGAAAATAATTTATAATAGTTATCTAAGGCTCCACATAAACATAATTACTAGCTTTGAACAAACATTAGGGGTTCTGAGAAAAAAAAATTATATTTGCCCAAAATTTAAGGTCAGAAATGATTGTTTTAACCAGTTTTACAAGATTTCTCAGAAGCTAAAACAAGAATTATAATTTAAAAAAAAAACTTAAAGAACAACAAATACTTGGTCACCACTCAGAATTTTATTTACAAGGAACTTTGATGATTAAAATCTGAAGCTTGATCCTACCTAAAAAGAAGCTGAAGAAAAGTCGGAAGGAAAAAATATAGAATACTCCATGTCCTTTGTTGGACTAAATTTGGCCCCTAACATAGAAGTTTACAATGAATAAAATAGAGAATATATAACAATATCATAATAATAAAGGAAAGTTATATATTGCAGCATCTTCTTTAATTTAAAATCTACTAAATAAAATCTGAAGCATCCACCACAACAATTTGAAGGACAGCCTTCCAATAAAGCAGGGATAGTATCCTCCGCCACACCAATCTTTGGGCTGCCATTCCTTCTCGAGCAAATACCTGTAGAATCTCATTCATTGTCGCAGCTCTCCATTCATCAAAATATGATGCCTATGAGCTGTCATGCCATAACGTGAAAAGGTGAAGGGGGCGAGCAACTATGACATTGAACATATTTCCCTTTTTGGGTAATTGCACAGTGAATGCATAGTAAGTTGATGTGAAATTTGGGTACATTTAACACATCGAAGAGGAAGAGACCATGGGAGGGAGAGAACTCCTCTGCTAGATACAGACAGATAAAGGGTATTATATTTAGCAACTAAGAACTCCTCTGCTAGTAAGTTGAAGGTCGAAGAGAAATTTAGCAACTAAGAACTCATTTTTTTGTAGCCAGACCTGTGGATAAGCTGCAAAATGTATGTAATAAAATAGCTCATCCTAACTTCCCAAAGGGTATTATATTAGTTTTAGATAGATGAAATATTCTTCTATGAAGAAAAATGCCGAAGCACAAAGTATATACAAATGAGATTTTTTACTTTCCTACAAGAAAGTAGAACAAAAAAATTCCTACATTGATTTAGCAGTCTCATGAAGCATGAATGTGGAGGCACTAGAAGATTCAAAACTATTAAGAATCCATATAAAAATGGCATAGTCATAATCTTGCCATTTAGAAAATTTAATAGTGCCGTGGTGAGCTGGAGGAGATGCATCAAGGAGTGAAATTTTATCATGAAAACCAACAAGAAAGCAATATGCCCTTGACCATGAAATAATTGGTACAATTAAACTTGATTGTGATACCGGTGATGAATTTGAGGCACAAGCGACTGAATGCATGCAATTCGAGGAGGCACGAGTGGTTGAGCAAGCAATCTAGGATGCTCGATAGTAGCGACTGAGCCATGAGTGGTCTAGTGGACGAGCGAGTGAGCACAAGAAGGTAGCAAACATGTGAGTGGGAAATGAGTGATATGGGCTAAACATCCAAGTGAGGAGCTTGTAGGCTTGTGGTGAGGGGAGCAAACGAGTGGGAGTAGGTCAGGGAGAAGAGTGATGGCTAGGATTTCTAGACTCTAATATCATGTTGAGTAAAAGAATCTCTAATATATAAAATAAGAGAACGGATATGATATACTAAGAATCACCAAACATATATGGACCACTAATAATAATAGAAGTACTTCCCTAAGATATATGATAACATTAATCAGAATCCATCAAAACAGGGATAAGCTTCTACATAAATTCAATTGACCATCGTTCATAAAGAAGCTTTCTTGTTCGATTTCAATGTTTTGCAATTGTCATGAATCATGATAAGCACACAAGCAGTTTACCAAGTCCTCTTGATTTATTTGACCTTGTTCCTTGAAGTAAAATAAGAAAACATCAAAAGAAGTCCTTAAACTTGCAAATTCCTAATTTTCTTCTGAATAAACCATCATACAAAGAAAGATCCGATACCAAAGTAGTTACCTTACAGGGCCAATTCCCTCGATAAAAATGGCATACAACCCGTTCGCTGGCCTTGACGGCGGCGAAGAAGTCCTTTTCGGAGATCTCGCTGTACTCTCCATGACCGAGCGACATCCACCCACTCCGTTTCTCCGCAATTTTCTTCATTTGCTGAAGCCTTCGCTCCCGCAAAGCCTCGAGATCGTCTAGGTCTAGCCGATCCAGCGCCGCGATCTCCTCATCAATCTTATCCTCCACCGCCTGCACCACACTAAGCACCTGCTTCTCCAGAACCTACGCCCGCATCATATTATTAATAAGGAAAATCAAAGAAGAACAAACAAATGAAAATTAAGGATTCATGTAAAAATCCAGACTTGCCTCCTTGATCTGAGACTCATCCATGCCTGAGATCGTTGGCAAACGAAGAGAATGAACGGTAAGGTGGTTTAGATGAGATCTACGGTGCGGTAGAAGTGCTCAGCTACGGCGGCCTGAAGTGGCTCGTAATGGTGGCCGGAAGAAGACGATTAGTAGGAGAAGAGCGGAGAGGAACGAAATTTCAGTATAAAACTACCGTTCCCTCCCATTGGTTTTAGGGCTGATATAAACTGAATTTTTTTCTTATAATTTTATAATTGCTAAATTTAGAGTTAGTTAGAATGTCTCATTAAAGTGAAATTTATTCCATTTTGATAGGAAAATAGCATATTTAAAAATATCTAAAGTTAAAATTATATTATTTTTTTATTGAATAAATTTGATAAGAAAATAAAAGAATTATTAATTTACATAATAAGTAGAAGAATATATTAATAATCTCTTGAATTTAATTAGTACAAAAATATCTTAAAAGCATAGAAAAAGTTATGATCTAAAGCTATCCCAAATGAAATCTTAATCTTCCATTGAGCTAACCCTTGTGGTGCTTTCTCTTAAAATATGTTTACTTGACCCCAGTTGCCTGAGGAATTATTTTGTGCAGACGTCGGACGCAGCTCTACATCCAGATGTCGTAGTATCGAACAGTACCGAGTGATACAAAGCCATGGTACTGAGCAATACTGAGTCGCAATACATTAAAAGGGTGACATGATGCATTTTTATTCTCCAGACGCATTCGGTGTTCGCACAAAATAATTTTTCCTTTACCACTAGTCAGGATCCTCAATCATACATAGGGCAAATGTCAAGCATAGGGATATGATCCAATCTTGTACATTTGGATCAAGTGTTGCCATTTTGAATCCTTGTTGGAATCTCTAAATCAAAGTCTGTATCACTTTTTTTCTGTAATAACACAAACTCTTAATTATCGATGTATAGTCTATTTTAGTCTAATGACATCACGATTTTGTCCAGTTGGTGTAATTTTCAAGATGCCACCCATCCTAGAATTGCTCTCACATGAGCACACTTAACATTGAAATTTCTTAATGAAATTCTATTCATTACATCGAAAGACATCTCGAAGTTTAAAAGTTTAACATATTTTACTTAAGGTCTCTCTCTCTCTCTCTCTCTCTCTCTCTCTCTCTCTCTCTCTCTCAATTTGCCCTAAACCCTAAACCCTAAGAAGCATATTTTTATCACTTATCTATGTTAGAATGTGAAAGTTGTAAATATTATATTATTCTAAGCTTTTAAAAGAAAAAAAATGATAAAAAATACAAAAGCATCCAAAAACTCTATTTTACCACAAAAGTTCTACAACTAATTTTGCAAAATAGCCTTACATTTCATCATATTTTTTGTACTTTTGACGTTAAATCACCTTCTCAAACCACAATTATAATTATGTCTAACCAAAAATAATTCTTCTAAGGAAATAAATATTATAAAATTTATGAACACTTTCGATCAACCACAAAACCAATCAAAATTTCATCAAAATCGAAATTAAGACTACGTTAGGAACAACTTTTTTACTATTTTTAAAGCAATTTTTTAGTGCAAAAATTTTCAATTCAAAAAAATTTTTGTAGTAAAAAGCTGCATTTAAAAGCAGTGAGTCAGCTGTCCCAAATAAAATCTAAGTGCTTCATTTGGAACAGCTTTTTTTTTTTCTTTTGTTGTTAGAAGTTGTTTTTTTTTCATCCACTATTTAAATTCTGCTCTATTAAAAGAAGCTTTTTAAAATTAAATTTAGAAAAAAAAAGTTATGAAAAAACTATCATTCAAATGTATAATATTTTTTACTCATTAATATTCCTTCCACAAAAATAATAATAATAAAAAATCCTAAGCCAAGCCTTGTCCTTTATTCACACCAACCTTTGCAATCTCCAACATATCTTCATTTAAACCATAAATAGCACTTCTAATTATAAAATTTAAACTATCAAACTATCCAATGCTATTTATTTGCAAATATATGATATAGATTTGATAAATGAAGTGGGAGATTATAAATTACAACATTTGAAGTTATAAATCTTCACAAAATCATTCAAAAAAAACTTGCAAATTATATTCAATTGGTAGACCTTTTGTTTATAAGGGTGAATGCATAAATATGATAATCATTAGGGTTAAATGTGAAAAAGAACTCATTCCTAAGAATTAAGTCAATTTTTTCAAATCTATAAATTATAAAGGGATAAAAAACAGAAAAAAATTATAGAAATTAAATGAATTTACTTGAGAAACATTGACTTATTACAAGCTAGAGTGATCATTTCATCACCTCTTCAACATAAAGACACAAATCTTAAAGCCTTAAAAGCTTAAGAAGACTCCCACCAAAAAGTAAACGCTAGCAACACATGCTTCACTTATATTCTTTCTCCCTCCAAAGATGAGGAGGTGAGCTAAGCTAATCATTTTGCTAGGTCAATAATATTTATTCTATATTATTGAATACATATACAGATTCCTCAAACCTTTGATACATTAAAGGGCTATGCTCACCTAAAAATCTCTTTTGCTTCGCATCTCCAATCCATCGAGGAAACTGGTGAGGCCCCTCATTGCATCAACTTTTCGCTCCAAAGCAGCGATGTAAACCACAGTTTCCTCGAAGAGCTCCTTTATGTCCATCTCTTCCGTGCCTGGCACCAGCTTCTTTAGAGCCCTCACCCTCTTGTCTATCTCCTCAACCGCTTCTTTATCAACCGTATCATCGATCGTATCTTTCCTTAGAGGATTAGAAAGGAGATGGAAATGCACAGGCAGACTCCGCTGACGGTCTTCATAAGATGGCATCATTGTGGTCTTGAGGAGCATCCTCATCCTTCTTCCCTCAACCTTGTTGAGACAATAGTGGACTCTATTGCTCTTGTTCTCCATCGATTTGATGAGAGAATAAAAAGGCGAGTAGTTAGATAATTGATAGAGATGGTAGGAGGTGGTAAAGAGATAGCACAGCTAGTGCTATTTATTTCAGCCTAAGTGTTGAAAGCCATGTAGAGCTGTCTAACATTTATGCATGGATGAGTTAGAAAAAAATAAAATAAAACTATGAAAGTTAATGCAAAATACTAAAATGAATACCATTTTGCAATGATTGCAAGATATTATTCATAAAAAAATTTTATAAGAAATTCCATCTGCTCAATCATGCAAGAAGCTGGTCATTATAATGAGTTAATAAAGCTTGAGATTAAGGGATAAAAGGCTTTATTAGAGTTAATCTCTATGTTAATGGAGTGATTAAGAGCTTAAAAATGGGATTAAGAGAACATAAGGAGACTAGTTAATTAAAGATGGGCATAGGGCGGCGTTTGGGCGGTCACAATTAAGCAGGCAGTGGGTGCACATGCCTCCACGACTGAAGCCTTGGAACCCATACCTCTTTCCATGTGCTTGCAGCAGCAGTTTTCTTCATTTTCCAATGAAAAATTAAACCCTAAAATATCAAAATTATATTTTAGTATACTCATAGGGGTGCAAACGAGTCCAGTAGAGCTTGAGTCAGAGATTTTTCGAGTTGAACTCGACTGCCAAATACCGAGCTCAAGCTCTAGAGCTCGAGTCGAGCTCGAGCTGGACTCGTCTCACATCGAGCAGCTCGTAGAGCACCGTCCTGAATAGGTTAGTAGTTGCGAACATCATCGTCCCCCTAGTTAGCATCATCCCGAGCTCCATCGTTGCCATCCTGGCCTCCATCATCGACATCTCGACCTTCGTCATCGCCCTTCCTAGCTCTGCGTCGACCTCCCTAGCTCTGTCGTCTCCCTCCCGACCTCTATCGTCACCCTCAGTCTTCACCCTCCCGAGCTCCGTTGTCGCCCTCCTGTCTCCCAAATTCGTTTTCCCGCTCGTCCTTCGTGAGCTACTCGATGAACTGTTGAGTCGAGCAGATGCCTGTTCGAGCTTGAGCTCGATAAGCCACCGAGCTCGAATTTGTGTTCGAGCTCAACTCGCAAGCTTGATAAGCTAGACTCGTCGTCGAGCCCCTTACTAAGTCGAGCTCGAGTTAGCTCACGAGCTGGCTTGACTCGAATGCACCCCTAATCGTAGAAAAGATACAACTCTGCAGCCTGCAGGTTCTTACTAAGGCTTCATTCGGAACGGTTTTCTTACTACTTTATAAAGCAGTTTTTTAGCACATCAAATTTTTAAACTAAAAGATTTGCATTACAAAGCTGTTTCAAAAATAATAAGAAAGCCGTCCCAGATAAAACCTGAGTGTAACTTTTTCAACTTGGCAATGCTATATATATTTTATTCTAAAATTTTCACAGAAAAATTATGTGTTTTCTATGTGCAATCGATCATATATTATGTAGGTGAATTTTCTATAAAATATCGAGACGATTAATTCTACATCTATCATCATGAGCCAGAGGTTTTTCGAGTCGAACTCGATTGCCAAATACCGAGCTCAAGCTCGAGCTTGACTCGTTTCACATCGAGCGGCTCGTAAAGCATCGTCCCGAATAGGTTAGTAGTTGTGAACATCATCGTCCCCCTAGTTAGCATCGTCCCGATCTCCATGGTCGCCATCCTGGCCTCCGTCATCGCCCTTCCTAGCTCTGTCGTCGACCTCCCTAGCTCTGTCGTCGACCTCCCTAGCTCCGTCGTCTCCCTCCCGACCTTTATAGTCGCCCTCAGTCTTCACCCTCCCGAGCTCCGTTGTCGCCCTCCTATCTCCCAAATTCGTTTTCCCGCTCGGCCTTCGTGAGCTACTCGATGAGTTGTTGAGTCGAGCATATGTTTGTTCGAGCTTGAGCTCGATAAGCCGTCGAGCTCGAATTTGTGTTCGAGCTCAACTTCAAGCTTGATAAGCTTGACTCGTCGTCGAGCCCCTTACTGAGTCGAGCTCGAGTTAGCTCACGAGCCAGCTTGACTCGAATGCACCCCTAATCATAGAAAATATACAACTCTGCAGCCTGCAGGTTCTAACTAAGGCTTCGTTCAGAATGATTTTCTTACTACTTTCTAAAGCAATTTTTTAGTACATCAATATTTTAAACTAAAAGATTTGCATTACAAAGCTGTTTCAAAAACTATAAGAAAGCTGTCCCAAATAAACATGACTGTAACTTTTTCAACTTGACAATGCTATATATATTTCATTCTAAAATTTTCACAGAAAAATTATGTGTTTTCTATGTGCAATCGATCATATATTATGTAGGTGAAGTTTTCATAAAATATCGAGACGATTAATTCTACATCTATCATCATGAATATTTTAGCACTCAATAATCTTATAAGTGTTGTTGCGTCTTGGAGTATTCGCGGCGGTAGAGAAATTCATAGTTTAACGTCTTAGCATTGTATGAAGATCCAGCACATAATCAGATAAATGAGAGAATATAGCGTTCATAAGAGACACCAGAGTTTTTACGTGGAAACCCTGAAAAAGGGGAAAAAACCACGGGGCCTGGCCCAGTTTGAATGAATCCACTAGTATTTGCAGTCGATTACAAATGAGGCCCTTCCTTGGGAGAAGGCCTTGGCTTGATGGTATAAATGTACATCATATAGAGCACATTACATAGTGGGAGTTACAATAATATACATGTTTGTTTTGTTGGAAAGGCCATAGTTGGCACAAGGTAGGGGTCTGAAAGACCCTAGTTGGTAGGAGATTGGGGTCAGGAAGTCCATTGTCTGGCGATGTAGGTCGGAAGGACCGTAGTAGGCGACAGAGGTCGTGAGGACCATAGTCGGCAGGAGATCGGGGTCTGAAAGATTGTTGTGTGGTGATGGAGGTCGGAAGGACCGTAGTAGGCGACGGAGGTCGGGAGGACCGTAGTCGGTAGGAGATAGGAGCCTGAAAGATCGTAGTAGAAGGATGGTACTTCGATAGAACTCCGGGCGTCAGGTGATGGCATGGTGGAGCTCGGGGCCTCAAGTGACTTTCCGGCGGAAGTCCGAGCTTCAAGTAGTAGCCTGGTGGAGCATAAAGTCTCAAGTGGTGGTACGACGGATGTCCAGGCCTTAGGTAGTGGTTCAGTGGAAGTCTGGGCCTCAGATGGTGGTACGGCAGAAGTCTGAATCTCAAGTGGTGTCCGGCGGAGCAACTGCTTCAGGCGATGGTCCGGTGGAGACGAGGGCCTTAAGTGATGGTTCAGCGGAGCAAGGGCATCATGCGGTGGTCCGGTGGAGGTGAGGGCCTTAAGTGATGGTTCGGCGGAGCAACGACGTCAGGAGGAGGTGAGGGCCTTAAGTGGTGGTCTGGCGGAGCAACAACGTCAGACGGTGGTCCGACGGAGGTGAGGGCCTCAAGTGGTGGTTCGACGGAGCAACACTCATCATAGAGTTTCTCTTTTCGTGTCATTTTCAACCCATAAAGAGATTTGCAAAATTATGATTTAAATGCATTGAACATATTATGTAAGCCCATATCATATTGGGGGGAATCGAAATAAAGCATAGTCTCTTGAATGGCCTTCACATGGCAATAATAATTAGTATTTTGATATTTGGAGGTTGTATGGAACAATAGAGCATGGAGATAGAGATGGGCCTAGTCAAGGTGGTATGTGTGTGTTGGACCATGGATTAATTAATTTATTAATTATATGCTCCATGATGGTGCATACTAACTCATAGGGAGATGAAGATCCAATCTTGTTGATAGTTATTAGTAATGTCGTGTGTTAGAATTGATACGTCATCATAAACTTATCTTGATCGAGCACGAATCTCAAGGCAAAATCAAGTAGGAAACTTCAAAAATTAATTATGGGATCATATGAACTCCGATTTCAGCAAACTTACTGTCGAACTGATCGTCTCGAAAATACGAACCCAACGACACCAAAATTAACTAATCTGAGCCCAAATGAGTCCAAATCAAGGACTCGAAGAGCTGTTGGAAGGTTCAAATAATAATTTGAGTTACCAAACAGTTTCCAAACATGACGTGCTTATAGTCAAATCGAGCGGCTCGACGAGACAAATCCAACGAGCCAAGATCACCGAATTCTGATATCATTAAGACCTTCAAATGCCTTATGAACGATCCACGATCAAGGGATTCAATATCGACCGTCCATTCAAACCACTCCCGATTCGCCCCTGATCTCTCACCTATTTACAGGCCATGCCACTCTATAAATCTATAGATATACCTCTCATTTCTCTTGTGAGGGGGGCCCCAAGCAAGAAAAGAAGGATAGGAGGGAAGAACTCCTCGACCACCTCCACCGGAATTCTGTCCAAGTGACGCTGGAATTCCGTCCGACCTCCAAGTGACGTCGGAGTTCTGCTTGAATACCATCTAAAGTCAAAATTCTCCTCGGCCTTCAACTGGCGTCAGACTTCTACCCGATGTCGGACCTCCGCTCATCTCCAAATTTATATCTGACACTGGGCTTCTGCCAATTGTCGGACTTTCACCAGACATCTACCTGATGTTAGATTTCTGTCCATTGATGGTCTTCTACTAGACGTCGTCTTTCTGACCTCTGTCGTAAGACTACGATCCTTCATACTTACGTCGCCCGTCGACTACAGTCCTTCTGGCCTCCATCGCCTGCCGACAACAGTCCTGACTAACGTCGCTCGCCGACTACAGTCCTTCTGACCTCCGTCGACCATCGACTACTGTCCTTCCAACTTACGTCCCACACCAACTATAGTCCTGCAGACCAAACACACACACATGAACAGCGATGTTTTGAATTATCACCATGTAATGCAATCTATAAGATGTACATCAAGCTAAGGCCTTCCCTTGTTGAAGGACCTCATTTGTAATCAACTACAATATTAGTGTATTCCTTTATACTAGGTCAGGCCCCGTTTGTTTTCCCCCTTTTTTAGGGGGTTTCAACGTAAAAATCTTGGAGTCTCATAAATTCTACACAATTTATTTCTTATCTGATTGCGTGCTGGATTTGACGTTAAACTTTATATTTCTCTACCGCCGCGAATACTCTAGGACGCAACAAGAATAGTCGTTGTGGTAGAGATGAAGTGTTTAATATCTTAGCATTATATGAAGATCTGATATCTACACAAATAAAAGAGGAATTACAAGGGACACCAGTATTTTTATGTAAAAAAAAAGGAAAAAATTATAAGGTTTATATAGTTGAAATGATTCAATTTGAGCATAAATTATAAATGATATCATTCCCTATTGTCAAGGAAGGTATTAAAATAATATAGTAGATACTAACTATAGATTATTGATTTATAATGAAATTTGTAGAAGTACTAGAGCATTTGAGGTGCCAATAAAAGTTTGTTTGTTGTTTATTAGATCATTCTCTTGTAAAAAGAGGATATAAGAAATAAATATGTTTAATATAACTCTTGATTTTGGCATTAGAAGCATGAATTTGGGTCAACAACTTGCAATTGTCTTATATGTGATGAAGTGTGTCAATACTGGTGGCAATTGTAATAACTTGTATTTTGACTTTGACAATTTTTTCTGGAGGCATTAAACTCCAAATCATAAACCGTCTTATCCATAGTATTTTGATTGCAGAATTTTACTTGCACATTTTTTTTCTTCATAATTTTTGGGTACCGATGAAAATCCTTGAGAATTTGGAACTAATTTGATTTTCAATAGTATAAAAAATTTACTAAAAAAATCATGTAAGTAAAATACTACCATCAAAATAATATGAGGAACATGGATTGCGATTTGGAATTATAAAGACTCCAGAAAAAAGTTGGCAAAGTCAAAATACGGGCTATTAGAAGCTCCCTCCCTCCTATCATCGGTGTTACTTTCGATCTAACAACAAAATGACGAGTCGTCGTGACTTCTGACCAGACACGAAGGAACGCCGTTGAACGAGGCAGAGTTTTATTGACTCGTTCAAAACTTTACCTCATGAGAGCGAAGCAGGCGAAGCCGATCGATAAGGTTTGAATGATGGGAGGAGAGGAAAAGCAAACCCTAGGCTTGTGGGACTATGACTGTGCGAGTGTAGGCGGACTGGCGGAGGCACAAGACAATGCTTGAGCGGGGGAATCTAATCAAATTCAGGTCAATTTCGGGTTAACGGGTATACCCATACCCAATACGATTTTTCAAATAAGTCGAATTTTAGAACTTAAATCCGACCCACTTGCTAAACAGATTAATTCTAACTCCAAATATTCGAATCAAATCCGAGTCTAATTTTTAAGTCGTGCCAAATATTGTAACCCTAGAAACAAACATGAGTAGCCTACCAAATTTAAGGTGGATATTTTTTTCCACCGGATTCGATTTGGTGCTCTTTGCTCATTTCTCACTCAACTTCAACCTCGCTATTGGAAAAGGCATAACCACTATGGACACAGCAGCGGCAGCCTCCGGCGATCCTCCGCCGGCTTCTGTTGTGAAAACCGTGCGGGTGGAGATAAAGGGACGTGTGCAGGGTGTAGGGTTCCGAGACTGGACGATGGAGAATGCGGAGGATCTTGGTCTCCGTGGCTGGGTCCGGAACCGGAGGAATGGCTCTGTTGAGGCCCTCTTCTCCGGAAGCCCCGACAAAGTAGAGGAGATGGTCGACCGGAGGTGCAGGATCGGTCCTCCCGCTGCTGCCGTCACCGCCATTACATCCTTCCCATCCAACGAGGATCCAGGCCTGGATTTCCATTACAAAAATACTCTCTAATGTTTTATTCTCTCTGGTATAATATTTGGTATTTTGCAAGTTTAGTTTGTTATTCCGTCTTTGATTTGGATGAAGAAATAATGTTACGTTATCTGCTGAAATTGGAGCTTGATTGTTAGTTTGTTCCTTATTTGATCTGTGTCTAAACTAGAATGAATTATATGATTCTCATATATAAAAAAAATCTGATTAGGTTGCGGAAGGAAGCGTATGAAGAAGCAAATTATATATTCAGAATAGGGAGGCTTTGAGAGTATTTGATTATTAAGCAGAGAAAAAGAAACTTAGCTATTTTTGAGAGCTTAATTTCCCAGATAGAAAATTGTGCTTTAATTCTGTTAATAACAGTATCATTCCATGATAGAGTAGAAATTCTCTGTAGACTATGGAGCAAGCACGTGGTATATTAAATACGGATGAGGAAAATTTATAAAATTTAAATTTAAATTTATTTTATTTTTTATAGGCATCATATGAGCTTAATGTGAAATGTGAAAACAAATGGCTTAAAATAATAGGTTATTGTTTTGTTTTGTGAATTATTGTGTTAGAAGCTGGTTTATATTAGCTTTATATCGATGAATTTAGTTTTCAGTTAAACAAATATGAGTTTCTGCCCCAACGGATAGATTCTTGGGAAAGGACAACAATGCTCAAATTTGTATTGGGACTTTGCAAATAAATAAGAACCAAGTTTTCAGAAGAGCTTCTGCAGGAAAATATGAATACCTATACCTTCCTCTCTGCAATAACAATTATAATAACAACATCAAACATTTATCCCAGTAGGGGGGGTCGGCTACAGCCTACATGAGTCCTTTTTCTTTATTGTATCCTATTAAGAGTCAAATTGTCATTTAAACCAAATAAAAAAATGTCATTTTTAATACTTTCTAACTAAGTCTTTTTAGGTATACGGTCTACCTCTACCTTTCTTAACATAGGCTGGATCTAATACATCTACTTTGGTCATCGGAAGGCCGGCGCTTTATTTGACCAAACAATCTTAGGCGACTCTCTAATTCTATCTGCCAGTGGAGCTACTCCAATCTTTTCACGTATATTCTCATTTCACATTATGTCTTGTAATGTAAAGCCACTCATCCACCTGAACATCATCATCTTTGCAACACTTAATTTTATACTTATCTTTTAATAGCCAAAATTTTGTGCCATAAAGTATTACAGGTTTCACCACCATCTTATAAAATTTTCCCTTAAGTTTGAGGGGTACTTTTCTATCATACAACAGACTCGGTGCATTCCTCCACTTCAACCAACCAATTTGAATTCTATAAATAATATCCCCATCTATTTCACCATAGCTTTGAACAATAGACCCGAAATATCTAAAACGTACACTATTTTTAATGACTTGATCACCCAAAGTCACAATCCCAAAACTAGATCTATTACTGCTAAAATTACACTCAATGTATTCAATTTTAGATCTACTCAAACAAAAATCTTTAAACTCTAAGATTAACCTCCATAATTCAAGTTTTCCCTTAACTCCCTCTCTAGTCTTATCAATAAGAAGAATATCATCAGCAAAAGCATACACCAGGATACATCCTCTTGCAAATGTCTTGAGTTGCAAAACATATACCATCATAAATACTTATACCTTACTCCCATAGGGGCATTAATAAGAGTTGGCTATGGTACTTCAAAAATCCGTATGTGTAGTTTTGTGAATGGTCTTAGGTTGCTATTATAATTTTTAAAGTTCTAGGGTTAAGTTTATCATTTTAGATTTGCTCTAAGGGCTGGTTCTATAATTCTTCTCAAGCCTCCAAGACTTAAAATTTTATTTTTTAATTTTTATTTTTATTTTTATGAGAATAATATGACTCTTAACTAGACACAATGGAGAAAAACGATTCATGTAGCCATCCCATGTAGTGGGATAAAGACTTGATGTTGTTGTTATTGTTGTTGAAATTTTATGAGAATAAAGAACGATAATAGTCTACACTTTATTGAACCAAACATAAAAAAAATAATTTCTATGTATCTATTTTGCTGGAAATCAAATAATTTAGAATACATTTTTTTACCTTACTCAACATTTTGAAAATACACACATGTATAATGCTTTCAATTGAGCACCTCCTTAATGTTTGTTGTTGGAATGTGGTCTACACTTTGTCATTGTCTGTAGTTTATTCTTATTTTAAGGCTATTTTAGGGGGAGATTGTTTGGCTTGTTAGATCAAACGTAAGTCAATAAGGCCAACCTCCCATCCCAAAGTCCCATGTCAGACGTTTTGCTATCATTGAAAGGAGACAAGCAATTTAGCACCTTTTGAGTTTGTATTTTCATCTCCAGGCATTCTCTCATGGTGTTGTTTTTAATGCTGCCCCAATCTGAACCAAAGATTAACATAATAATAGTTTATTAATTTTAGTTTCCTTTGGCCAGATCTAAATATCAACATGAGGCCTTCAATGTTTTCTTCTTCTTTTGAATCCAGAAAATATTATTGACTAGTCTTGGGTTGATTATCGTTGCAATGTTAGGAGAGGAGAAAGAGTAAGGGAAGAAAATTTATTGATGGATTATCTTATCTTCTTCTTTTATATATTATTTCAAAAGAGGTGGTCCCTGCTCAAAATGTTAGCCCTTTGCAAATGGGGCTTTCCTTAGTTTTATGAATGGAGAGTCCATGAGAAGGTGGATAATGTTCTTTGTAATCATGAATTAGGAGAGAGCATGTATTAGGAAGTATGGATCAAAGAGGGATTAAAATTGATCAGATATTCTAGTGGTCAAATATAATTTCAATATAAAAGCTTAAGCAAATAGGTGAGGGCCTTAAATATCTTTCCCTTACTTGAAAGTTTTCCGTATTGAGCATCACTCTCCCTCAAACATAAGTTTTTTAACATTATCAATTGTCGTGCAACAAGAACTTTGGTCAACAACATGAAAACATTGTAGGAGTTGCATACTCTTGAACTATCTCGGTCATGATAGAAGGCGCCAAGATTTTTAAGTGTTATGAACTACACGCAGAGGTGTCAACTTTTGACATGACCCGAAACACGATCCGAACCCGACCTGGAAAAATCCGGGTTCGGGTTGACCCATCAACCCGAAATTGACACGAAAACTCATTTTTGACCCAAAAACCCGATATTGACCTGTTTTTTACAAGAAAACCCGAGATTGACCCAATCTTGACCCGAAAATTAGCAATTTTGGGTCAACCCTGGGTTATTCGTGTCGGGTCAGGTTGACCCGGACCCGAATCGGGCCGGGGTCGGGTCCAGAAACCTGACCCGTTTTTAAAAATGGGTCGGGTTCGGGTTGACCCGAATAGTGTTGAGTCAATTCCGGGTTCGACCCGAACCCGACCCGTTGACCCGAATTGACACCCCTAACTACACGAACCACATAATATTAGCCAAAACATTAATTATGATACCGCTTTTAAGGAGTTTGAAACCAAATTAAGGATGACCAAGTTGACTTGATAAAGAATAGTCAAATCCAATTTTAATCCACAAAATTAAGTCAATAGGTGAGTGCCAATCATTTAGTATTTCTATATTGGCCTATTTTTTATTTATCTATTGTGATATTATACTTAGTACTATCATAGCCGCCCTATGTTGCACCAATACTCCTATTTATGAAGGCGTGCTGTATCCGATATACTGATACACGGATACGCCTCCTATACGCCACTGATATATGTCGGATACACCAAAGCCGCATCCAATTAAAATACTATTTAATTTCAAAAGGACACGCTTATCCGATACGCGTGTCCATTGAAAAATAAAAAGAAATAAAAAAAAGACGCATCGTATTTACTTCCGGGGCTGCGAGCAAGGTTCTCTCATTTTCGAGATAGATTTGAGTCTCTTGATGATGAGAATATTAGAAATTACTAATCTTTCACTTGATGAGCCTGAATTAGATTCTATGATATTTATTGAATATGATATAAAAGTTCAAAGACAAACCAATGAAGAAGCTAATCATATCATTCCTTTTATTGAATAGTTGAAACTTCATGTGCTAGATAATTTATGTTTATGCTTTTATTGTTGTACTAGACATTTAATGCTTTCTTATATTTTGATATTATAAGCTACAAGGCTACAAATATTATTTTTTTTTTATTTTATAATTTCAAATATTATGCTTTGATTGTTTTCTTAATTTTTATGTATGATTTATAAATTATAATGCCGTGTCCGCGCCGTACCCGTATCCTATATTTTTAAGAATTGACGTGTCCCGTATCCGTATCGTGTCGTATCCGTGTCGTCGTATCCGTATCGGTGCAACATTCATAGGCCTTACAAAAATGAGATTGTGGGTTTTCTATTATGGCCAAGATATAAGATGCTCATTTTTATTACTTAATATAAAATACTTTTATTCGACACAAAAGATATATTTCTATGTATATATACTTATGATATGTGTAACATAAGATACATTCAGTTAATTTCAGGCAATAGATAGTTAGGTTCATCTAAACTTTATTCAAATATTTTCTTTCAACCGAAATATAGGGTGCATTAAATTCAAATCTATTTTTTTTTTCTTTGGGTCAATTATACGTTTAACATCCCCAATTGACATATTCAAAAAACTAACCGCAACTATCTTCATTTATGATACTACCATCCAAATCTCGGGGAGCGCAATAAAACTCCAATCCATATTTTCATTTTGTTTATTAAATTCTCAACAAATTGATCGTGAAAAATTCAAATACATAGGTTTGTTAGTTTTTTTTTTGTATAGGGTTAGATATGTAATAATGAAGATTTGAGTTATTTGCCTCTTGTTTTCCCCTTTTCTTTTCATAGATTTTGCTCCTGCAAACATCATTTTAGCCGATCACCAGGTGACACCCCAATTAAGGGGATCCTTTTGGGGCTCACTTATGGAACTTTTTACGTAGTAAAGTCATGATTTAAAGTATGGGTTAGGCCCCTTCTTTTATGATGATCATGCTTGATCAATAAACAACATATCATAATTTGGAAAATAGGAGGGTTTGAGTTGGAATAAATTATTTCTTAAAATCATGAAGGGTTATTGTGCCCTTGGGTGGAAAGGGTTAGTTTGTAATCTAAACTGGCCATTATGATATATAATCAATTAATGAGGAAGCTTGCATTATGATCCATATGTATGATGGCATCGATGGGTTGAGTTTCATGATACTGGACAATGTTTTAAAAGGTGAATGCATAATGATGCATTTTATTTATTTGGAGACCATGCATAAGCTTTGAGGCATGGGTATATGATCCATAAATTTAATAGTTTTAATATATTACGGATAGAAAACATGATTAAATAATCAAATATAAGAAAAATAAATTCCTAAATCCAAATATTATTGTCATATGATTCATAATATATTTTTAAAATTTAAATGATATAAATATGTAAAATAAAACATGAATAAGACCTTATCATGAAATTATAAATAACGAGTCAACCTAGGGCTTCAATGAGGAGTGACAATGTGAGGAAATGTACGGAGATTAATGACAAAGTTGAGTCGGGCTTAGGGCTTTTTGGCTTCAGTGAGCTTCTATGGGAAGATTAGATTTCATAGGACTTAATTATTAAAATATTAGAAAATAAATAATCTTTTCATTCAAATTTTATTTAAATAAATAACAAAGGTATTTATAATTAGTTAAAATTTAGTAATTTAGTAACTTAATTTAGGTTTTGTTTGAGACGGCTTTCTTACTGCTTCTTAAGACAACTTTTTAGGTTTTGTTTGGGACGGCTTTCTTACTGCTTTTTAAGACAACTTTTTAGTACAAAAAATTTAATTTTTTACTAAAAAATTGCTTTAAGAAGCAGCAAAAAAGCCGTCCCAAACGAAGCCTTAATTTAAGTTTTATCATGGAGGTATTAGCCTACTAATAGTGGGCAATAAGTGAGACCGAGTGTTAGGGACGATGCCTCAATTTATGCTTTGTAAGAATGAAAGCCTCCCCTTACTACACTAAGACAAAATTTCTCAGTCCCCAGACGAGCCAAAAAGGATTCCTTATAAAATTTGTCTAAGTATACTTGTAATTGAATGTAGAAATGTAATTCTGAATCTCCTACTAATCATGGTGTAGTTGTCTATAATCAAAACCTACCAAACTTTATGTAATTGTTTTTTTCATCTCTGAGCCTCTGATACTAATTTGATGCTAGACGTATTATGTTATAGCAGTATAATGCAACTAGATGATGCAATCTATTAACACACGTAATTTTGATTGAAAATTTGCAATTCAAAAGAGCACTAATTAAACAATTATTCGGTAGCTTCTAATGAAAACATGAAAGTAAGAATAATCTCTGCAAAATGATAATTTACTGGTAGCCCAAATTGGATAAATTTAGTAGAAAATTTCAAACCATAAAAATCCAAAACTCAATTGGATTTCATACTGTCAAAAGCCGAAGCTGTGATTAGAAAAATCCAAAATATGCCTTCTAACTTCTTCGACCAAACAACCTTCTTTAAAGCCGAAGCTGTGATTACAATCAGGCCAGTAAAACCAGAAATTTGCTTGAAGCTTGCAAGGAAAACCTGAAACTGCATCTTCCATTTGGAGCTTGGTAATTCTTCCTGTCATTTTTATAGGGCAAATTGCAGCTTGAACTATGTGATGATATCAGAAACCTGAAGCTTAGTTCCTTTTTGGTGATAATGATCTCCTGCTATGCTAGTCATGAAACTATTTGCAGTATATAGTATTATACACTGTACATTGCTGTTTTTAAGACTTTGCATTTGCACACTGCGATGAATAAGAAATGCTATTACATTCACACATTCATCATGGAAAGAGCTGAACATATCCAGTTTGTATAGCTGCGGCCAAGATGACTAATGGAGGGAGAAGTATAAACGCTCCTATTGTGGCAAAGAAAGTAACATCATTTCTGCGAGATACTTCATTGAGGTAAGTCTGTCGCTTGATGTTTCTCCTCTGTGAAATTGTTAAGATATTCAACTTTTTCAAGCTTTCTTTCATCTTTTTACCTAATTGAAGAGTAAAGTCTTCATCTCTTCCTCTGGTTAATTCGGCAAGTTGTTCTCGAATTGTGGGTCTTGCAGTATCACCGCCACTCTCATAACCTGTAAATGTGACAATTTGGTAGGAATAGGTTACAGGAAAGTGGTATGGCCAGGGTTCATACTGTTTTTGGAGTACTGTTGTTGAAAGATTCATACCACGGCCTGTATTGGTGGTGGATGTTAGCTGTTCCAGGAGATCCAGTTGACTGCGAACAGAAGACTCTTCCCAAGTTGAAAGGCGGAATGATATAGTTTTATATTAGAAAAGTAATACAGAAATTGTCAATATCTGTTACACATAGAGAATGGTGGTACTAGTTCTATAGAATTACATAAACCTTATATAGTTGCCTTTAAGGAAAACCAGAAATAAAAAATAGGTATAATTTGAGGATGCAGCAGGTTAGAGTAGCCATTGGGGCTTGCATTATAAGGTAAACAAGGAAATATAAAATTTTAATTTTTGTACTGAAAAACTGTTTTAAGAAGCAGTAAGAAAGCCATCCCAAATGAAACCTAATTCTATGTAGAAGCACATCTAAGAAAGAAATCGGTTGAACTACAAAAATTACAATATGACAAAACACTCATAAAAATATCAAAATTTATGTGATTCTCACTTAAACAAAACTTAGGCCTACGAGAAAGAAGAGGATAGGATCTAGTAAACAAAAGTAACAAATAATTATGAAAATAAGGAGTACGCCAAATTATCAACAAAGAAGAAGCCCATGAAACCCTCTCAAGCTAGTTAACCTCACAACATGATATAGATTGCCACCATGTAGAAAATTCTCCAACCCTCGTCATGAGAGCAGCACTTATGATAAAATCCTAAATGAGAGAGTTACGCCATCTTATGTAATCGCACATTCTTATGAAAGTTAAGAGAGTTCCAAATTGAAAAGCCTAATTGCATGCCCTACTTCCCTCGCACTAATCAAGTCATACATGGAAATTGAGCTTTCTCAATTTTCATACTCATCTTGTATAATCGATTACATAATTGTCAAGTAAAGTTCGCAATCCCACACATGCAAAATGAGGTGCATAATACCAATATCACGCCAATTTCAATAGATTAAATCCTCAATTGGAGTATTTCAAGCATATTAGATAGCGTGCAACACTTGAGATCAAATGTAATGAGTGTTGTACCAAACAAAAAACATATTGAGCAAAATTTAATAATTCACTAAGTCGAGCTCTCTAAGCTTCCAACGAATAGAAGGGTTAATCACTATGTAATCTCAATAAGCCAAGATGATACTTGAACTTAACGCCCTTAAGAGGCCCCTAAAGCACATCTGTTGCATGTCGAAGTGGATCCATTAAAGTGCACCTTCCACTAATTTTTTTCACATCTAAAGTAACAACTTTTTGCTATAAATGCTATAATTACAGAACCTGGCATTGGGACGACCTATACAATAGAATATTGATTTGCCTGATTCTCTCGTAAAATATTCCTAGCAACTTTTGCTTGATTTTATTCCATAATCTTTCCTGCAACCGAGAAGCTTACATTTTTTTCCTCCAAGTCATGGTGCTCAACACAAATGAAGACAAAATGAAAGAAGCTATTCTTGAAGTTCCACCTTACGACACAAAAAATCCAACTTTAATCACTTTCATGACAACCAGTACACCTTAGCAAGCCTTAAGGACCTCAGTTTCACGGGACAAATGTACTTGTATCAATAAGAGCACTCATTGATCATATTCTGTCATGTCAGGTATATGCCGAACTCAAACCCATATCCTAGTCATACTACCATGTGTGGACAGTGCAAATTCATCCTCACCCAAGGCAAGAGGACTTCAGTTGTCCAAGGGTTTGAGAGGATAGATATTAAATATAAATTGCACCTGAGGTACACTATAAGGAAGCAAAGAGCATACAACGAGAAATAAGGGTGTGCAAAATAAATTTAAATAATTAAAACTTTTGATATACGTCCATAATGTCGCGAGTTGAGAGAAACTTTAACTATATGAGAAGAAAAAGTTCAAAGAGCGTATCTATAATACTATAATATCTAACACAAAATGTTAGGAGATTGTTTGATATGTAATTGCATGTTAGATCAAGAGATGTCCAGTTTTGATGCCCTTAAAGAGATTTGATAGTTGTTATTTATAGTACTATTAGTTCCCCAATGATAAATTGAAGATTAATTGAATGTTAGAGTAGATCTAACTCTAAGAGTTATTGTCCATGAACGACCTAATTTAATTTGGCTCTAATAACTCAAATATGATTCATCTTTTATATATAATGTCTTTTTTCAATGAATTCTTAGCATCTTTATATCTTTACATCAATTAAGGTCAACATTCATTATTCATCCATAAGGATTTGTAATAGTAGGCATTATCCCTTGTAACTCCCATATTCGTGTGAAGATTCATGCGAGATAGGTCTGGATAGCTTTGCCTGAGAGTTTTCTTGAGAGGAATTATTGTAGATGTTGAAATGTCTCGATATTAATATTTTCAATATTATCTTGATTTAGACCAAGTAAGTTAGGTTACTAATGCTTGGGAGATTTTTGAGTAATACTTCCCCTTTATTTTGAAAGTTCATAAAGTTGAGAGATTTTCAACATGTGATCATTTGTTTTCCTATAAAATTTTATCCTCTTTGCCTTTGTGAGTGATTTGTTTGTAGGATGAAATTTTTTATTCGTCCCCTTTTTCATGTTTAATCAGATATATCAGAAAATGCCACTGACTAGATGAGTAAGGCTACTCATAACACCTAATAGTTCCTCTTTGATTTTGTTTTGGTGATTATAATTGTTGATGTTTTGATTAGGAATGTGCGAGAAATGTTTGTACTTGACACTATATTTTTAGATGGTAAAATTTTTGTAATAGAGGAAGGTTAAGGTTGAAAACAGGTAGGACTCGATCGAAATTATATGTTTGGAATCCATATTCAATTCTTGAAAGCGTTAATAAAGTAAAGGCTTCCAATTTCTTTTAGGAAGAGTATATCTTAAGAGATTTTTCCTCTCTTCGTGAGGATCCTTTCATCTTTGCACCCGAAACATCAAGAAAAAGATGGTGATGATCATAATGCAGATCAAAATCAAGGCTCCTCCCCTACTCTTGCCTTTTTGGGTTGCTGTCGTAGAGAACATGAATGCCCACGTTCTTACTATATTGTAGAAAGAGTAAAAGAGGTTTATGTAGAAGCTTAAGTTCAAGGTGTTTATTGGAGACCATTATTTTCAATAAGCTGAATGACGTTACAGCTACTATTTCCCCAATTATCTCTTGTTCCTCCAACACGTGGATGGGTGACCTGAACAAGATGGATCTCCACAATGAAGAGCTACATGCTTTGAATAAGAAGAGGAGCCCATTTTGAAGATGTTGATAAGGGATGCTTTTTTTGGTGGTTGACATCAATCTGAATGAGCTGAAGCACTATTTCGATGAATGCTGGAGAAGTCTGAGCTGCTTTGAAGAAAAGTTCTAGCCAAGGTATTTAAAGAATCTGATATTGAGAGCATAATGAAGATCAAATATTTGGAATTAGGCTTCTATCCTAGCAGGCTTGAGGAGACCAAAATGATTGTGGATAGAGTTGCAAATGAACTGGGCCATGCTAGGTATGTGCTTGTTTATATTTGACCACGTTTATTATTAAGCTTATTCAAGTTCAATTCGAGCTCGATTTGAGTTTTTTTTGTTTGTGTTCAAGCTTGATTCATTTAAAAGGATAGATACTCATGTTTGGTTTGTGTTGGTTCATATTTGATTCATTCCATGCTTATCGAGCTTTAAATAAATTAGTCTTATCAAGCTATTAACGAGCTTTATTTTCTAGATGTTCATTAGCTTAAACATCAAACCTTATCAAGCATACTAACAAATAATTACATGGAGCATATTCACGAATATATTTGGTGAGAGTTTTTGCGCTACCAAAAAATTACAAATATATCTAGTTAGTGTTTTAAAGCCACCGAATGAGCATGTTCACGAACAAATGAGCTCTGAAAATGATTCTTCTTATAAATAAGCTTGTTTATGAATGCTATAAACAAACAATTCAACAAATGTGAATAAATCCTTCTTGCTCATGAACAAATTATTGAAAGAGTATAACAGAAAAAAATAAAATTTATTTTTTATAAAATAAAATTTATTTATTATAATAACACTAAAAATTATGCAAAAATATACCAAATAAGGATTTAGAACAAGACTTAATTGATTCTTAACGAGTTTATTCACAAGCTTTGTATTAAATATTAATCAAGCTTCTTATCAAGCTTATTATTAATTGATATTATTCATGAACATAAGCGAGGTGAACACATAGCTGTTTAAACTTATTTATTTAACTGTCAAGTATCTTAAAAATTATTTAAATTTGTTTGATTACTTAAACAAACGATAATTAACGAGTTGTAATTGAGCCAAGCTACAAGTAGCTGGTCGAACGCTCAGTTCATTTGCAGCCTTAATTATGGTTATACATTATATGTGATCCAAGGGAGAAAAATGAAGTATACATTAGAAAGGCACATACGCAATAAGATTGTCTTGAGAAAAGTCTAAAATAATATACTTCCATCAATAATTTGATATGATATGGCAATGATCAAGAACTCCAATAGAATATTCTCCTGATAATTTCAATTCATGCATATAGTCTCAAGGTTAAGACATCCCATCGAGAATTTGCTTGCTATAACGAAAGAGAATGGAGTAGCTAACTCAAAGACATCAAATTTGGCCAAAATTTAGGGCTGGCTTATCCTAAAATGTAGAGGGTGGTTTATGTTGATGAGGGTTGGATCTTTGGTTGAAGAACAAAGGAAATAGGGTAGATGAAGCCCACTAAGATTTTGAAGCTATCATAAAAGGAGACTGGCAGTGGGATCAACTATGACAACTAATGGGCAATTCTGAATGTAGTGAGTAGCTAGACACACAAACCAATTGAAATCATGCGATCATGCAAGGAGAGCACACAAATGAATGATATCGATGACTAACAAGGAGTGCACCAAGCACGAGGCCATAGGGCGATCATGATGTGGAACATCTTAGTTAAATCATGCCTTAGAATATTATATCTATTTTTATACTCATTTTTAGAACTTTCTGGAATATTCAAAGAATATGATATATATATATATATATTAGTTGTAGCAGGAAGGGAGATATGAAGAATATTATATCTTTTGAGCTTTGAGTCTTATATATTTGATTCCCTTGTTTGTGTGTTCCTTCTTTGCATCCCATTCTTCCACCGATCCCCTACATCAGATCATAGCTAGCATGAAGAGGCGTGGCTAGCTAGTGTGATTGGTTCCAGAGAAAAGGACAATCATGACTAGGATGCCAAAAAATCTAAGTGATTTTTATTTACTTTTAATCTAATCAATTAACTATTTAAACTTAACTAGCCTCGTTAAAGAATAATACAATAGTAATGTCTTTTACTTAAAACTTAACTAATCATTATTTAATATTCATAATTAGTTAATTTTTTTTTTTTGGGAAAAAAATTAATTAGTTAATTTTCAATTAATAGTGCACTAAACCATTAGATAATTTATTCTAGATTTAATTATCATAAATAGATCTTTAACGTTTTTAATTAGTCTAACCATCAAAGCTTTCATATCTTAATCAATAATAATTATTAATTATTTAGTTTAATTAATTATCTATTTTGCTTAAATTATAATCTCGATAACAACTGTAAAAATTCCACTAAAATTTAGCCAGATTTAGCATCTATCATGTCAAACAATTTTTTGGATTTCACACTCCCAATTTTTAGGGTTTGTTCGGAGCTCATGAAAGCTAGTGGACTAATACCCGCAACAGTTTGAAAGAAAATCTAGTAAAAGCAAGCTAAAATGTCTTTGAAACATTAAAATAATCAACAAATCTTATACGTAAGTAGCAGGAAAGTAAATAATTAAAGATCTAAAGAGAGTCAATTTATTTCGCATTTTTTCTGATGAGTTTCTATTTAATCGAAAGCAGCTTTATGTTGAACACTCTGAGCTTGTTTTTAAAATCAAACCTGTTGCACTTTGTTCCTCTGCTACGTTATCTGATTGAGATGCTCTACTGGGAAGAGATAGCTTCTTGTCTGCTCCGTAAGGATTGATGAAGAGCGCATGACTCTTCGTTGATAGCCTTTCTGAAACCTGAAACCTAAGAGATGCAGCTGGGAGAGGCGAAGGGGCAATTCTAGAGGCCATAATCTCTCTCTCTCTCTCTCTCTCTCTCTGCATTTTGCGATGATGATGACAAATTGATTGAATTAAAAGCTTCCAAAATTAAATCAATGATCATCCAAACTCCAATTTTAGCAAAAGTATAGTTGAACTGAACGTCTCGGAAAGACGAACCCAACAACACCAAAATCAGTCAAATTAAGTCCAAATGAGCCCAAATCAAGAGTCCAAATTAAGTATATTTGAAGGGTTCAAAGTATAATTTGAATTACTAAACAAATTCCAAACATGACATGCTTATAGTCAAATCGGGCAGCTCGACGAGACGATTCCAACGAGCCCAAGATTGCCGAATTCTGATATCATTAAGACATTCAAATGATCAATAAACTGTCCACGATCAAAGGGATCAATATCAGCCGTCCATCTAAACCACTCCCATATCGACTTTGATCCTCCCCATATTTACAAGTCATGACACTCTCCATTCTTCACATGAAGAGAAAAAAAAAAAAAGAAGAGGAGATGAAAATGAGGAAAAGAATAAAAGGAAGATAAGGGAAGATGTTTGAAGCTGACTTGCCGCCGACCACTGCTGGATTTCCGCCTATTCACGACCATCGCCGAAGTTTCTTTCCGACCGTTGGCAAAGTTCTTCTCGACCACCGCTGAAACATTTTCCCAACTGCCGCCGGAGTTTTTTCCTGATTGTCGCCGGAGTTCTTACCAACCGTTGTCTAAGTTTCTTCCCGACCATCGCCGGAGTTTCTTCCCGATCACCGCCGGACTTTTGTCTGTTCGTCGACCACCGTCAAAGTTCTTCCCAACCACCGCCAGACTTCCGTGTGTTCGTTTACCACTGTCAAAGTTCTTCCCGACCACTGCCAGATTTCCGCCTGTTTGTCGACCACCTCCAGACTTCCTCCTATTCGTCGACCACTGTCAGACTTCTGCTTATTCATCAACCACCTCCAGACTTCCGCCTATTCATCGACCACCGTCGGAGTTCTTCCTAACCACTGCAGGACTTCCGCCTATTCATCGACCACCTCTAGACTTCCGCCTATTTGTCGACCACCGTCGGACTTTCGCTTATTCGTCAACCACCTCCGGACTTCTACCTGTTCGTCGACCACCGCTAGAGTTCTTTCTGGCCGCCGTCGGACATCCGCCTGTTCGTCAACCACCTCTGAACTTCTGCCTGTTCGTCAACCACCTCCGAACTTTCGTTTGTTCGTCAACCACCGTCGGAGTTCTTCCCGACCACCGTTAGACTTCCACCTGTTCGTTGACCACCTTCGGAGTTCTTCCCGAATACTGCCGGACTTCCGCCTATTCGTCAACCACTTCCAGACTTCCGCCTATTCGTCGACCACTATTGGACTTGCACCTGTTCGTCGACCGCCTCCGGACTTCCACCTGTTCGTCCACCACCACCGGAGTTCATATTTTAATCTAGTTTATTGAGTTTCAAGAGCCAGCAACTCCCGTATGGTCTCTACACAATGATTGGGATCATAATGCATGACATTTGATACTGTTGAAAATTTTTAAGAGGTGAGTGTTCAATGGAGGACTCTCATTTTAGAGAAAATTAAAGATTTATATGAGTTTGACATTAAAAAATAAAGTAAAACTTGTGTTCTTAGTACGTTAGTAGTGGTTCTGACTCATTGACATAAATTTTTTGTTAATGGATGTCTATTCACTAATACATCGGGCTCAATTTGAACTCTGATTTTTCCACCCTTAATGATGCTTATCTTGAATCATTGATAACTAAAGGCAATAAAAAAGTTTGTACTATCTCAAATCAAAAGAAACCTTAGAATCTTTGAGACAAAGAGTAGGCTCAAAGCTTAAGAGTAGATATGTCAAGCAACACGATTCAGGCAGAACATTTTGTAGGTATAAGTTCTTGAAATTTATTATTAACCATACTCCAAACAATCCCTAAATTTTGGATTTAGGATGAAGATTCTGCCTCAGGCCTTCATTTTAGGCTTCTTATAACTTACAGTTGCCGTCATTATAAAATAGAAAATGCAAATGGATAGAGGTCAACAAGGATGCTGACTCCAGATCTCTGGTTTTTTTCTTCTGTTTTTCTATTGGTTAGTTCATTACATTTTCGATCTTCATTTTGTCAAAATGAGGAAGATGATTAAAATCCTCATCAAAGTGAACTATAAGAATCAGTACTGAAAATAAGAGTCTGCAGCTTCTGCAGAAGCTGCTCGAAGTCATCCAGTGTCTTGATAAGACTAAGCCGAGCGTATCGGCTATGAGCTTCGAACACAGTGCCTCCCCGGGAAAGTATGCCAGCATTTCTAAGCACAGCCTCACAATCTTCATCTTCATCTTTCTCACATCTCAGCCATGCATATGCTGTACACAAATTCAATGCATTTCTTTAATATAAATATGAGAGTTATAAATTTAGGCTACTAAATATTGGAGACAGACCAGGAGAAGGGTCTTTGAACTCATTGAAGTAGTTGCAATAGTGAGGTGAGAGCTTCTGAAGAGAAAAACGGTTGGAAGAAGACACAATTTTGCTCAGTTTTTGCCATCTTTCCTTCATTATTTCATAGCCAAACTTGAAGAAATCACCTTCCTCTCTTATTTGCAACAGTATTGTCTTAATCAGCTTCAGGACTCTCAACTGTGTATCACTGGAGACACCAACTGTGCTCAAGTCCATGTACGTAACCACCTTCTGATATACTTTCTCATCCTTTATTATTGCCCACCTACAATGTTTAGAGCAATCAATTATATTTATAGATTATACTATTCTATGATCGTAACTTTTCAAGTTTAAAAAATAATTTGAATCATTTATATGTTTAAACATAAATGAACTCTAAGGATTGAATAAACTTTTATGAGTTAGAATTCAAATCATAAAGTTGATTTTATAAATCTATTATAAATAGATCATGTATGTATGAAATATGGAAATAGTCATGAGAATATTAAGAGTCCATCCTTATTTTAGATAGTTATTTTTGGATAATATTGTCATAACACTACATTTAGGGGCTGTTTGGTATCACACAGGATTTGATTTAAGTAGGATTTCGTAAATCCGCTAAATCTGGATTTCGGAAATCCTGAGGGGCCTAAATCCTGAAAACTGTTTGGTAACATTCGTGATAAATCTTATTAAATTATGTTTGACTGTTTGGCTATAGAATAGATTTTACTAGTGAACTCTTCTTCTCGAGCCAACGGATTTTATAAATCCGGTAAAAAACAGGATTTTGGAAATCTGGGATTTAGCACGATAAGGTGGAATTTCCCGTCTACGGCGGCTTCATTTGCCTTGAGATTTGGTTTTGCATTTTAGGCCATTTGGCTGGATTTCACAAAAATCTGCCTCAAATCCAGCCTAAATCCTGTTACCAAATAGCCCCTTAGAGTTGTATCGTATCTAGAATACTCATGAGATCATAATGAAATGATAAAACAAATTGTTTGGGCATAAAAGCTCTTCGAAATATCATTTTTTTTTTTTATTAGTTTGTATATCTCATGACCAATATTTCTTTTAATTGCAGAGGTAGATAGTTACCCAAATCTGGAGCTGGCATGACCTGTGAACTTGGCATTGGAGAAGAGCATGACATCTTCATCTGCTGGAGCTGGAATTGGACTATACTGAGGCCAGTAATAGGCATGATCATGAATGGCCGCCATTGATGATCCCAGGAGAAATTTGGATCGCCTCTGTAAGTTTCCATCAGGATTATTTGGAGAAGTCACAATTTCTATTAAATTTTCTGATGATAATTGAGTTGAATTAGTTGAACCCGACATATTGGAAGGGATTCCTTTCCATTGATATTCTCTTGAATTGAATAGCTTAGTTTGCTCCCTGAACACCTGAAACCAACAATTTGGTAAAACTTATGTAACTGTCTTATCGTTTTGTTAATGTGTCCATTTGTTTTGAATATAGGATTGTTAGGTATCTTATTGTATGCCAAATTGAATTAGGGGAATTTTAAACATCCACTTAGGATAACTTTTTCATAATTTTGCTTCTTAGACCGTAACCACAGTTCTATTTGGCTATCGCTTCTTAGAAATTTCTATGATGAGAAATAGTTTTCTTAGGATCAAAACTACTGTAGTGATGGCTATTGATAATCCGAATTTTTTAAAACAAAACAAGTCTATAATAGGCGCAATAGCTTTTACAAAATTATTTTTCTCACAATAATTCTACAATTACTTCTACAGACAGCAGTAGCCACCCCAAATAGATCATAAGCTCCTTTTGAAGGCTATTTGTGAGTATTATAGATCTTTCCTGTTTTGGAGAAGTGGATCATATGCTTTCTTACTCACCTTAGAAATTTAAAAAAAAAAGCAAAAAAGTTAGTCAATCACAACTATGAAAGCTTTTAGGAATACATAAAAAAAACCACCCCAAACCAATCATAAATCCTGATGTTTGATAAATTCTATTTTAGCCCCATTATTAATTAAATCCAAAATTTGTTTAATTCTATAATTTCTTAACATATTTAAATATTTCTCTTCTCATAAATCTTACGATTAAATAATCAAACAATTTAAAATCTAGCAAGATTTACCGTTTATCATGTCAAACAATTTTCATCTTCTAATCCCCTAAAAAATTATTGAATTTGGATGTACAATGTTTATTAAATCCTACTTGTAGCCAAACAACTTCCTTGTATGTCTGATCAAGGCTTCGTTTGAGACGGCTTTTTTATGGCTTTTGAGTTTTCAAAAGCAATAAAAAAGCCATTCCAAACGAAGCCCAAATGTCTTTCTATTTCGGCTGATGCTAAACTGACCTCATAGTAAGGAGCGGTGGCGACGACACCGACCGGAGAGTTGTGATCCAAGGAAGAAGAGAAAGCTTTGATGACGGCATTCAGGAGTTGAGTTGAACCGGAGCCGAAGATGATGAACCGGTCGTCGGTGACAGCATTTCCAACCGCTCGATGGAGAAGACGAATATGGCGTTCCAGTTCCATGGATATATAGTTGGGAGCATTGTTCTGATAGCTCATTCTGTGCCAACCTGAAAGTACCACAGCACTTCTCCCAGCATTTTGGCGCCAATATGGCTCCAAATATTGTGGATCTCCACTGTAAGTATATCAACAAGGTATTTATGATTTATAATTTTTTAAATTTTATTATACAATTACTTTCATTTTTTTAAATTTCATTATGAACATTATATATTTTCTAAAAATAGGCAGATAATAATAAATTTTTTATAACGATCTCATTCAAACTGTGATTGTTGGATTTGATTTAAGTGATATTAATTTTAATTAATTATTTATATATTGCATTCATTTCAAAGTAAATTCAATGATTTTAAAATCTTTCATGATGAAACTTTAAACCGATCGTTCTTTTAGTTTTCATTCAACAATTTATACCTAACAGCATCGGCCGGACAATCACGCATCAGAATAGAACAATCTTCGCCTGCATAACAATTGTTGCACTCGCACTTGGGCCTGCCATTGATGACGACGCTATCGACGAAGGCATGTCCGTGCCATGAACAAGTTATGGCGGCGGCCGCCTTGGCCTCCGCCATAGCTTCAATGCCCCAACCAGGCCTTGATAGGCTGTGGTATATGACATAGAGAGATAGCAATGCATTGAGTAGGATGGAATATAAGAATGATAACAGGAGCTTGTGGTTTTGTTGCTTCTTCATCTTTTATAGAATAATTGCCAATGGCTTCAGAATTACTCCTATTGGTTATTTATATACAGATCTGCGAGAAGAGTATCCATTGAAAGATTTTTTGGTCAGTCTGGAATCTGATACTGCTTGAATTGCCGGCTTGTTATTCTTCACTAAATGACAAAGCATTGTATTAGAAAATACAAAAAAATAATGAAGGTTAGAAAAGCAATTCCAAGAAAATATATTATTTATTGATCAAAACAAATGAAAAAATCCTTTATTTTTCTTCTTCTGGGCAACAGAATGATGCTGTGGCCTACAATGATGTGTTGAGATCTTTCACATTTGTATTCAATCAAGCATATAGATTTTGAGAGAGATTATTTATTTTAGATGCATGCAGAGTTTCATGTTATAATTTAGGATTTATTTGGGGCAGCTTTCTTATTGTTTTTTAAAGTAGTTTTTTAGTAAAAAAAATTTAAACTAGAAATTTTTGTACTGAAAGCTGCTTTAGAAAGCAATAAGAGAGTTGTTCCAAGCAAAATCTTAAAATTTGACATGCAAAACTTCAATATATTACCATTAATATATTTGCAACATCAATATCTATGATGTGATATGTTTAGATCATTGATTGGAGACTAGCATCAATGTTAGGCTTTGTTTGGGACGGTTTAAAAAGAAGCAAAAAAGCCATCCCAAACAAAGCCTTAGTATCTATATGATGGTTAAGTAGCAAAATGAGCTCAAAAAAAGAGCATACGACTCTCAACATGTCTTGCTTCAATATCATAATGGCCATTCGGGACGAGAAGGCGGTTTAGCGAACATTATCATTATAATTGATGTATCATCAAAAAATTATCTTGATCGGGCACGAATCTCGAGGAAAAATCATGTTTCAAACTTTCAAAATTAAATTTGGGATCATACGAACTCTGATTTCAACAAACTTACAGTCGAACTGAACGTCTCAAGAATACGAACCCAACAACACCAAATTCGACTCAATTTGAGCCCAAGTGAGTCCAAATTAAGGACCTGAAGCGTTGTTAGAAGGTTCAAACCACAATTTGGATTGCTAAATGGTTTCTAAATGTGACATGCTAATAGTCGAATTGAGCAGCTCAACGGGACGAATCCAACGAGACTAAGATCAATGAATTTCAACATCATTAAGACTTTTAAATGTCTAGCAAATGGTCCACGATCAAGGGATTCAATATTGGTCGTCCATTCAAACAACTCTCTATTCACCCTTGATCTTCCTCCTATTTATGGGTCATGATACTCTACAAAATCTATAAATAGACTCTTCCTTCCTCTTGAAAGGGGGTACCTCAAGCAAGAGAGAGATAGTAGTTCTGTCAGGCCACCACCCAATGCCAGACTTTCGTCGGACCACCGCCCGACGCCAGAGTTCTGGTAGACGACCACTTGACGCAGGAGTTTCGTTGGACCACCACCTGACGTTGGAGTTCTGTCAGATCATCGGCTGACGCCAGAGTTTCGCTAGTCTTGATGTTAGAGTTTTGTCAAACCACCGACTGAGGCCTGAACTTTCGTCGGACCACCGATAGAAGTCAGAGTTCTTCCTGACTACCAAATAACGCCCGGATTTTTTGACGGACCACCGCCTTATAACTATGGTATTTTTGACCACTATCTTCCCTTGACTACGACCCTTTTGACCTCTATTGCCTACTATGGTCCTTTTGACCTCCATTACCAGATAACATTCTTTCTGCCCCCTATATCCTGCTGACTATGGTCCTTCTGACCTATGTCGCTTATTACGGTCCTTCCGACCTCCATCACCAGATAACGATCTTTTTGACCCATATCTCCTGCTGACTATGGTCATTCCGATTTCTGTCGCATACTACGGTCTTTCGGACCTCCATTGCCAAATAACAATCTTTTTGAGCCCCATCTCCTGCCGACTATGGTCATTCTGATCTCCGGCGCTTACTACGGTCCCTCCGACCTCCATTGTGAAACAACGATCTTTCTGACCCCCTATCTCCTGCCGACTATGGTCCTTATGACCCCCGTCTTCTATTACGGTCCTTCTGACCTACATTGCCAGATAACGATCTTTCTGACCCTTATCTTTTGTCGACTATGGTACTTATGACATTCGTTGCCTACTATGGTCCTTTCGACCTCCATCGCCAGATAACAGTCTTTCTAACCCCTATCTCATGCCGACTATGATCTTCCAACCTCCGTCGCCTACTACTATCCTTCCAACCTTCATCGCCAGACAACAGTTTTTCTGACCCGTCTCCTTCTAATTATGGTGCTTCCGACCTCCGTCGCTAGACAATAGTCTTTCTGACCTCTTTCTCCTGCCGACTACAATTCTTCCGACTTTTGTCACCTACTACAGTCCTTCCGACCTCCATCGCCAGATAACGATCTTTCTGACCACTATCTCCCACAAACTACAGTCCTTCCGATCTCCCTCGTCAAACAACGGTCTTTCTTACCACTGTCTCCCGCCGACTACGGTCCTTCCGACCTCCCTCGCCAAACAACTGTCATTCCGACCACCATCACCAGACTAAGGTCTTCCCAACCTCCTTTGCCTGCCGACTATGGTTCTGCTAACTAAACGAACATTCAATATTAATTATTTCAATTCCCACCATGTAATATGATGTACATTTGCTACATTAACACAATGCCTTCCCCCCAAGGAAGAGCCTCATTTGTAATCAACTGCAAATAATAGTGGATATATTCAAATTGGGCTAGGCCCCGTGGGTTTTCCCCCCTTTTTAGGCGTTTTCATGTATAAACTCTGGTGTCTCTAATGAACGCTACACCCTCTCTTTTATTTGCTTGTGTACTGGATCTTCGTACAAAGTTAAGACATTAAATTTTATATTTCTTTACCGACAAAAATATTCCAGGATGCAACAATAATCAAACTAAAAAAAATTACGATTAATAATACTACTTCCACCGGGTTCTATTTGTTGTATTTTTTTATTTTGTAGAATAAAATAAATAAAATATTAATATTCAATGCATAACAAATAATAATAATAATAAGAGATAATAGTAAGCATTAATAATGGGATAAGAGTAAATAATAAAAAAATATTTATATTAGCAAAATAAATATAATTTTCTTCCATGTTCTTACTAAATGTTTTATAATTTCTTAATTTTAATTATACCTTTTTATAAATTTCATTCTTCCTTAAATTTAAATATACCATTTTTATATTTTTTTATTACAAGATATGTGTCGCCTATTCAGCTGATTTTAACACCAAAGAAGAATGTATATAATTTTGATGCAAATATTTTATTTTTTCCACAATTATGAGATTCTTTAGAAATTATTCGTAAACATTTTTCAGTTTGTTAGTTTTGAGATTTTGTCTAAAGAAAAATTCAACAAAAAACAAAGCTTTATGCAAATGAAAACTACCTCAAAATTTTTTTAAAAAATGGTGATAATTAATTATATAATTAGAGAGGAAAATGTCATTAATATTTTAATTTCACAATATTACAGCTATAAATTCAATAGAATTAGCATTTAAAAATAAATGCATGTCATCATCTAAGCGTAGACTTTTGGTTATTTGCAAATCCCTACAAATTAAAAAAAAAATTCCTCTTCTCTCCTTGAAAGTTGCATATTATATTTCAAAAATAAAAGTACAATAAAAATTATAATTATTTGTGCCTAATCCTATCCCTATTTTCCTCATAAAATTAAGATTAAAATAAAAAATATACATTGTTAGTATCTAAATTCTAGGTCAATGGCCGGCCCACCTTGACCTGTTGAATGGGAGCACTGGCGAAGCTATAAATTTTATACATGTGGCATAAATTAAAATAGTCGTGCCATTACGAGAACCAAGATGAGCTATAAGATCAAAATTAAGAATACAAATAACATTCCCCTTAGAGCTTAGAAGACATAAATATCTGTCACATGTGATCTCTGTTTGGGGGCGAGAAAGAAAAAAACAAAACATTTGTTATAACTTTAAAGTTTTATTCTATGAATATTATCAACAAATTTATTTTAAAAGATATCTAGGCACACCAAATTAATTTTTGCTACTTTATGTTTTTGATATATCTAACAATTTAGGCTTCGTTTGACAATTTTTAAAGCAATTTTTTAGCAAAAAAATTTCATCATCTTAAACTTTTGTACTAAACAATAATTTTAGAAAGCAGTAAGAAAGTCATCCCAAACAATGCCTTAAACTATATCATTAAATTGTGCTTGATTAGATTGATTCAAGAAAAAATAATTACAATTTATTTTCCTCTGTCTCTCTCTAACAGATCTTAAGATCGAGAATTACATATGTGATGCGTGTAAACTTACGTTTAATTCTATCCATATTCTTCCATACAAAATTACAATGCAAAGTAAAATTAGCATAAAATCCAAGTCATGTTTATTTTAGTATGTAGTGGAAGATCACTTGGCCTCCACTTTCTCCTATTGATGTTGCCATTGTACACACTTTCCTCTTCTCCTTCCAATTGAAATCATCAATGTTACCTCTCTCTCTCTCTCTCTCTCTCCACCAACTCCATCAAAATTGTTAAGACAAATAAAGATACAAAAAAGCACTCAAACCCTAAAATTTTATAGAAATATTGACTAAATCTATATAGTACATTTTCTTCTTAGAATAAAAAATAGGCTAAGAATTTTTTAATATTATAATATTTTAAGCTAATTGATTTAAATTTAAATATTATAATATTTCTATAATGTTGTTTATTGACTTTAATTATATAAATGTCCTATTAAAAAGAGAGAGTAGAGTAGAGAGAGAGAGAAATTTTTTTTTTCTCACCAAGGCGACGTGCCCCCCTAGGCCCCACCTAAATCCGCCAATGCTCTCTCACCCTCGAACAATTATTAGGTTAGGTGACCTGACGTAGCTCTACGTTCAGACACAAATAACATGTCGCCACATGGTCTTACTCAATATCGCGCGGCCCGACGACTTGACCCGGGATTGCTATGTTCGATTATTGCTCGATATTGCTAGGTATTCCTTGGCAATAATGAAAAATATCGCTATGTGAAGATCAATATCGAGCAATACCGAGAAATATCGAGGTATTGCTCGGTATTGGTCTTCACAGAATAGTATTTCTCGTTCTTGCCGAGCAAAATTGACCAATACCGAGCAAATACCAAGCAATACATAGCAACACGCGAACATAGCAATCCCGTATCCGTTCCGGGTCGGGGTTGTCGGGCCGCGCGGTAAATAGTAAGAACACGTGACACTATTTTACTGGCGTCCGAACATAGAGCTATGTCAGGTGACCGACCAAAATAAAAGTTCCTCACCCTCACCTCGCTCCTCTCTCTTTCTCTCTCTACAAACTCATAGCAGTATTAGAAAGATTATCATCAAAAAGAAAATGGGACTCATAGCTAAAAAAATGGTACCACAGCCAAACTTCATCTCTAATAAAACAGCTCAATGCATAAGACTCTCTCTCTCTCTCTCTCTCTCTCTCTCTCTCATAAAAGCATTAGAAAGATTATCATAAAAAAGAAAATGGGACTCATATCTAATTAAGAAAAATGGCACCACAGCCAAGCTTCATCTGCAATAAAACAGCTCAATGCATCAGAGCTCCATAACATTTTCTGAAGCACTGAAAAGGAAAAAACCATATGGAACAAAAAAAAAGAAGAAATATTTTAGAGTATACACTGTATATGTTCTTGAGTAACACTGAAAATAAAAAAAATAAATAAAAATAAAAAATAAAAAATAGTCCAAGCAAATGAAAGAATCTCATAAGAAGATGATCTAGATGAATTCAAGGAAGAGCTTGAACTGATAATACAAGGATTCATAAGCCTTTTAATTACTGGGAAAATAACCATATGGAACTATGATGATATGATCTACCCTCATAAGTTTTTAAGTATTATAGATCATAATAGATCACATTATATCATAGTAATGCAGCACCAAAGAACCTTAAAAGGGACTTACGAGGAAGAAATTCAGCCTATAATAGAGGAATAAGAGCTTCCAGATTCCTCTGATTTAACCATCCATTAGGATATAAGAGTTCATTGGCCTCAAAATGCAGATGCCAAACCAGAATTCTGGAACAGTTATGTGCCAAGCCTTCCATTTGGCTTTCATCCTCAACTAATTGCTCCACAAATTTGCTTTCCTGCACCAGATTAATTCATCATTGATGGATTTCCAATAATCTAATATCAAATAGGAATGGATTTTGATCGCTACGAAAGTAAACGAGTCGAGACAAACTCAACGAGTCGAAACAAACTCGAACCAGCCCAGCTTGAGGATCATTTGTGATTAATTTATCATTGATGGATTTCCAATAATCTTATATTAAATATGAATGGATTTTGATCAATACAAAAGTAAATGAGTTGAGACAAACCCGAGCCAGCCTAGCTTGAGGAGGGTCAGCTTGACTAATTAATCAAATTCTGAGTTTTAGCTTGAACTTAATTTAATAAGTCTAAGTCAGTTTATTTATCATAGAAGAGAGAAGATGATTACACTTACAATAGTTGAGTAAAATGATAAGAAAATGAAGGAATTAGAAGAAAAATAATAAGAAATTACATGAGTCAAGAAAGAGAAAAGTTAATTAAGTTGATGAGTCAATTTAGGACTGATTCAAATTTGGGTTGTTATCTCATCGAGCTTGGCTCATAAGCAGAAGCCAAATTCGAGCCAACTCATGAGTCGTCTTGACTCGACTACACTCCAAAAGTGCATTGTGGTAATTCAATATCATCTCATTTTTTAAGACTTTTATGCCATCAACTTCCTTGCATATACAGTAATAGACCTGTAATAGTTATATATTATTCATTTATTTTTAGCCCTCCCTTTTTTAGCGTTGTATGAGCATAGCCACCTGCAGAAAATATCGTTATATCAAAATCACTCATAACCTATGGGTAATCTATCGCCCATCACATCATAAAGATAAAACAATAATAAAAATCATTATCACAGCAATCAACGCATAAAATTGAAACAACCAGCAATATATGAGCTAAACTAACCTTAAAACCCTCCCTGGCAGAGTCCTGATGTCTGATGAGGTCGATAGTGGGCCGGTGCCATCTTTTTGGATCCCAGAGGATGGTACTGTTAAATGCAAATCCTGACATTTCAATGTGAAATCTTCTAGATGATTTACTCCGATCAGTGTGCCATCCAATAATTTGACTGCCATTGCAAACAGGACCTTCCAGTAAATATCTTTTCTTGTCCTCAGTAAGCACTGCAACTGGCCAAGTGCCAAAACGCCTAAAATTTGAAATATAAACACTAAGGTCATGAGAGTAATTCACAGCAATTATTCTTGAAGAAAAGAGAACGAATTAGTCGGAATAGAAAAGGAGTTATGAAGGTTCAAAATGCGAACTAGCTACAACTTGAAAAAAAGGCATTTAATCAAAAGAGAAGTGTACTTATTATTCATTTCAGTATCTTTCAACCTAAAAATGCAATTAGACAATCAAAAAAGGTAAATAAACTTCAAGCAAGACCAATCCTACCTTCTGCAACAGGGAAATTATTAGGTCCGGACACCGGACGTAGAGATACGTCCGGACTCCAATAAAATATTGACATGTGGAATGTACACGTGCCCGTGGAATTTTAAATGCCTATGACAATGTGAGAGTGTGAAGGACACGAGATAGATAACTCTTGCCAAAATGTCCAATGGCTCCCATGTAGGGGTGTAAGTGAGCCGACTCGAGCTCGACTCGATAACGAGCTCACGAGCCAAGTTTATCGAGCCACGAGCTCGAGTTTGAGCTAGTTGAGGCTCGGCTCGTGAGCCGGCTCAAAATTATTTATTTAATTAAATTAATCACCGAACATATTTTTATTTAAAAAAAATAAATAAATCTGCTCTTCATTAATGATATGATAGACACTATGGCAGCCTATATGATAGTTTTTCAAAAAGAATAATAAAAAATATACATGTTTCGGCCTATATGACAAGACAACCTATACCTGCTCTTCATTAATATATGAGAGAAGTTTTAAAAATATATAAATACAAAACTATTAGTTATTTTCCCCAAAGAAAAGCTACTGCAAGTTCATGTTTAAAAAAAAAAAACTATTGTTTCTACTTTTCAAAATACGGGACGGACATTGGCGGCAAAATGAGAAATTGGACGGGAAAAAAGGGACAAATGCGAAATCTAGTCATAATCAAGCAACTAGCGAGCCGCCTCGAGCTCGTTAAAAGTGGGATGAGCTTAAGCTCGCTTTCCGACTGACGAGCCGAGCTTGATAGTGCTAAAACTCAACTCGACTCGACTCGACTCGTTTACACCCCTACTCCCCAGTCTCAACAAAAGATGATTCAGCAAGCAAGAGTAATCAGCCCTTAATCATTCAAAAGTTCATAAGAGTAGATGAACACACATGATAAACATATCTGCCATAAGAGCAGAACCTATACTCAAGGAAAACATAGAGCAAGCATGACGGTTGTGCATCAAGAGCAAAACCCTCGAATTTCATTCAATGCCTAAGAAGAACAAAACAAAATCAAGGTTTATACATGGATTACTACAATTGGTGAAGTATGCTTGTTCACATGATTTCATCCACCAAAGGACCCCAAGTTATGCAAGAAAGTGTATGTGAACCGGGTTGAAACAGAAGATATTCAGAGCATTTTTTAAGTCCTCTGTCATCCGAATAGTTGGCATCGAGACACTAGGAATGGATCACAGAAAAAGTGAAAGATGCTACAATCATAGTGCTCGGGTACTCCAACAAAAGTTTTCTGTAGGTCTTATTATTAGCAATTACCTCACTTGCTAACAAATGGCATTAAACATCGGTTAGAGTTTCTTAAAACCAAAACTAAAATGGACATGAGTAAACACAAGTTCCAATTTAAGTTGAAAAAAAAGGATCACAAACTTTAGAAAGAATTACTGATAGAAAATAAAGAACCAACATTAGATTTGGTAAAAGGAATATGTAGATTTTGAAAGATATGCTAGAGAAAGGGAGAGTATAGTGATTCCTAAAAATAAGAATTAAATATAACATGCTTTCTGTTAAATCTCCACCGTCCCTTGGCCCTTGATCCCATGGCTAACATGGGGATCCGTGGGAGGCTCACCTATTAAATCATAGCCGTTCCTTACCTCTTGATTCTATGGCCAGCATGGAGATCCTTGGGAAGCTCACCTAGATCATGCTGAGGATTATATTAGGGAAATTATGCATGATTCCGTAATTATTTGTTTCTTTATTAAGATATCTTGTATAGATCTATAAATAGGGATATTTTGGTTTAATAAAATGAAGCTTTTTCTCTCTCCAATTCTCTGAATTTAACATCATATTAGAGCCTTCATTGCCTTGGCTGAAATTCCAATTTATTTTTTTTTTACTACCAGACTTTCAAAGGGAAGATCGGGCCTTCCCTTCAGAAATGAAAGGGAGCAGTTCCCGGATTGTTGGATTATGCATACGTCCAACTAAGAGGAGAGAGAGTGCTTCATCATGTGGTCTCTGCGTTTGATCACGAGAGACAAACGTCTCATGCATCTTGTCTGGAGGGGTTGAATGAGAACCCCGCAGTCTCTGCATTTGATAGAGAGAGACGAACATCTCGTGAATCCCTCTCGCATGCGTACGACCAAACGGGACAAGAGAGGCGTGCGACCAGAAGATTATGCGCTTTTGTTTAGGGTGGAAGTGCGGAACCAATCAGAGATCATGCATCCTTGAAGATTACCTCACACGGTAGCCTCCTCTCATGTGCGTCTAGGGTGGAACCAAGAGGAGCCAAGCAAGAGCTTGTGTCTGTATGAGAGATCGTACAACTGCATGAGACGAGAAACTATGCGTCTAGACCGAACGGGTGTGTGCGTCTGGACAGCGTTCTTCTCGATCCTCTAGCCTCAAAATTTCTCGTGTCCTTCGCATCTACGTCAAATCCTGTCGTCAAGGATACTTTCATAGGCTCCCAACCAGCTGTCGATGCCATCAAAGACCATTATGACGAGTCTTTCGCCACCACATCCAACCACATATGGCAGAATGTAACTTATGGCAAGCGCCACCGTCGCCAGAATAAGCCGCTGGGGATGACCTGTCAAATGGCATCTCCCCCATCGAGCGCCCCAAACTTATTAGCATCGGTTGAGTAAACAACTCAAGAACACCGTTGCACCATTGAATCCGTTGCCGCCTCTGAATTGAGGCCACCGATCGATGTGGCTGCTTCCAATGTGGATAAGTGAGGATAAGGACGATAGCGAAGCCGAGGGAGATCGAGGAGTGGAACCTTGCAGAGGTGTCAGTTTCCTATGAGTCGCAATATGATATCCAACTGATGCGATTCGCAAACTACTTTGGGCGAGCATTTTCTAGTGTTAGTGCCTCGCAACCCCTTGGATGAAAATGTTCAAGGAGTCACATGTTGCTCAAATCATTAAAATCCTTGTCATATTTCATAAACAGTTTACATGATTACAGTTGATTGGAGTGCTACGAAATCACCTGAGGCTCTTGCTGATTTTGTTTTGTGGTGCCTAGATTACATTCTTGTTGATCTTGCAATTCAGTAGGCTGCTGCTAAAGGCTCTAGAAAGGTCACACATAAACCTCCTTCAAAATCTCAGGTTGCAATATTTGTTGTATTGGCAATGAATCTTCGATGAAAACCCGAGGTGCTCAGTAATCTTCTACCAAAACTAAGAGACAATAAACAATATCAAGGACAAGAGAAAGTTCATGTGATTGTTTGGACTATTTCTTAGGCTTCTCAAGGGGAATTGATAGTTGGGATTCAGGCCTGCGCTCATTACCTATTGTCGCTAATCAATGAAAAAAAATGGTAATCTGCAAACGAGGGGTTTGGCTTTGTAGTTGATAGGGAGTATTTTGACAAGACCTAAATCTCATCCTATTCCAATAAATGGTGTTGTTAGAAAAGGAGAGCTCATTGTCCCACCTTTTGCTTGATTTGTTAATGCAGGCTACTTTTCCTGTTCCCTTTGCTCGAGTGAACGCTACAAAGAGATTAGAAGCACTTTACCCTACCCTGAAGGAATTGACGCTTGCTGGTTCTCCAGGTTTCCACCACTGACCTTCATTGTCGGAATTATGAGTACAAGTTCTCACCACTGACCTTCCTTGCCATAATTCTAAGAAATATTGGGCCTTACATCGACCTTCATTGTCGAAATTATGAGGAATACTGGTCTTTGTTCCTATGTGCGACGTCCAGAGTCTATCGAGTAGAAGCAAGAGAAGTCGAACGCAGTAACACCTCCTATGCGCATCTAAAAAGAGTTGAGAGTTCATTCTCGTGCGGGTCTAGGGCAGGGACAATCAAGAGTGAAACTTGCACTCCTTCCTGCTATCAGACCAGAGGAAACAAAGATCTTGCGTGCACCTATACGGCTCGAACTAGACTTTGTTCGGGCCAAGTCGAATGACTGATTTGCATTGGGACGAAGGCTGGTTCGATCAGACGGAAGGAGATCTACGTGTCGAGTGTTGAGCCGCTTAACACGTGTTTTTTCTGCTGTTGTTCCTGAAGCTTGTCGCAACCCTAAAAATAGATTTGTTTCCTTTCTACTGTCATGCATTCATTGTTGGCCTTTCCTTGAGAACTGAGAGGGAGATAGACCCGAAGGATAATTAATCCACTTTCCGTGCTATCCCACCACCGGCCTCATTTCCATTTATGATATATTGAGAGCTAATGTTCAATGCAGCCTTCATTGCTTCCCTGCACCTTACAGGCTTGATTGAGATAGCCTTCATAGATATCCTTTGCCGCAACAAAGTTTGAAGCTAATGACCAAATGAAGGACTCTATGGTAAATCAAGGGACTTGATGACTACCTCTTTGGGACTAATTATCAAGCTAGGAATGGAAGATATGTATTTCCCAGCTTGAGGGGGAATGTTAAATCCTAGTTGTCCCTTGTCCCTTGATACCATGGCTAGCATGAGAATCCGAGTGAGGCTCACCTACTAAATTCCAGCCGTTCCTTACCTCTTGATCCTATGGCCAGCATGGGGATCTGTGGGAGGCTCACCTTGATCCCTCCTATCTCCTTCCATATCCGGATGGCTGATTTAAGAAGGATTATATTAAGGCAACTATGCATGATTTTGTAATTATTTGTTTCTTAATTAAGATATTTTGTATAGATCTATAAATAGGGATAGTTTTGTGTAATAAAATAAAACTTATTCCCTCTCCAATTCTCTGAATTTAACACTTTCAAGAGATTATATAGATAAACGGGAACCAAAAGAAACCTAGAAGTGTTAGAAATTACTACATGCGAGTAAGCCACGTTTTATAAGATCAGCAAAT